TTTCTAATCAATGGTACAATAAATTGGCTAAAATTCTATGTCTTGAGAAAATCCTGTGACATTGTGCTTATGTTTCATAAGTCTGATGTTAAAAATGACCCCTGCAGGAATCCCATCTGTAGTCATGGTTACCAATTCTGACAAATCTACTTTAAAATTCTCAAAATTCTTCTCCAAACACAAAAATAAGCCACTTCCTAATGATGTGCCTTTTTTGGGGCACCATTTCCAGAAGATACTTAGTCATATTGAAATTTTCAACAACACAAATAGCTTTTATATGTCTACTTGATTATCAACTGCAACGGAAAATGCCCCAAATAAGCTGATTTAAAAAAAAATTTTTAATGTTTATTTTTGAGAAAGAGAGAGAACAAGAGGGGAGGGGCAGAGAGAGAGGGAAACACAGACTCCAAAGCAGGCTCCAGGCTCTGAGCCCAAGGCAGGGCTTGAACTCACAAACCATAAGATCATGACCTGAGCTGAAGTCAGACGCTTAACCAACTGAGCCAACCAGGACCCTCTCCCTCCCTGCGAAGAACTTGATTTTTAAATGTAATTTATCCTGCAAGTTCCAAGCTGTATTTCCAACACACTGAGCAATAATATTTGTAGTTACTATGTTTGCAAATGCTAATTTCTGTTTAGGACCTGTTCTTTTGATTTCAATAAATATTCTTTGTAAACTTGCCTTTGGTTAAAAAGTTATTGCCAGAGCAATTTTTGTTTTCACTTAATATGCAACAATTTCCAGGCAGCATCACTGTGATGGTTAATTTTATCTGTCAACTTGGCTGGGCCGCAGGATATTTGGGCAGACATTATTCTGGGTGTGTATGAAGTTTTTTGTTTTTGTTTTTCTGAGTGAGATTAGCATTTGAATCAGTTGGCTGAGTGAAGCGGAATTAACCTTCCTAATATAGAGGCGCTTCATCCTCTACTGGAGGCCTGAATAGAATGAAAGGTCTGATCCTTCTTCAAATTAGGGAGGATTCCTCCTGTCTGACTGTCTTCAAGCTGGGACAATATTTCTGGGTTTTTGTTTGTTTGTGTTCTGTCATTGGACTCAAGCTAAAGTATCAGCTCTTTCTTGGCCTTGAGCCTGCCAGCCTTCAGACTGACCGACATCATCAACTCTCCTGTTCCCAGCTTGCCACCCTCAGATTTGGGGACTTGTCAGCCTCCTTAACCCCACAAGCCAATTCCTCATGTGATACAAGCACACACACACTTCATGAGTTCTCTTTCTTTGGAGAACCCTGACTAATACAAATACTAATACATTAAGTTTATCATTACACATATTTTCCAAATACCAGTTCTTCTTTCACTTTCTTTCCTAATGTCTTCTTAAGTTGTATTTTTTTTGGTCACAGGCATACTTTGCATCTTAAAGACATAAGAATATTCTTTATTTTCACAATGCTACTATTTATAACATACCAGCTTTCTCCATCTGGCTTTCATTTCCAAACTTTTGATAGAAATATAGATATAAAAATTTTTTCTCTTTTATTTTCCTTGCATGTTAAAAAAATAAATAAATAAACTAACATTGCAAACAGAGAGAGACTACCCCAGCTCAGAAGATGGACAAATTCTGAAGATACCAGATCAGTAATGGGAGTCTCTGGGGGAAGAGAAGAAGATGAGAGGGAATTATTGATACAGGCTTCCTGGATGGGTGATGTCTTATGGAATTCCATTTGAGTTCTAGGTTTAGTGATTACCTCCTCTAGTATGCTTTATCAGGATTTCTGGGGAAAATTGGGCAGAGATTGCTCACTGCCCAGACTTACCAGTCATGTGGTGAATGGGGGCACATACAAGTCTACCTAGAGGAAGGACAGCTTTTTTTTTTTTTTCTTTTTTTTTATCTGCACTGGAGCTCCTGAAAATGCTCCATCATTGGGAACAAGAGAGGGGCTCCTTTTTGGGTTGCTGGTGTAGCACACCAGCACACTAGATGCACAGTTCGGTGAATTTCTGGCCATGTATTTAGACAACCGAATACATCCGACAGCTACAGTTGTGATGATGTGGGTATGAAGGAGAATGAGAGGCTCTTGGGTTCATTGATTAAATCTGCACATTTTGGCACTGCCTACTTTGTGCCAGTTCTGGATATATCCCGGACCTCTGCATCTTGTTACTTCTCAATTCCATGCATCAAAATCGAAATCAAGCATTCCTTTCTGCAGGAAGACGTCCTTTATCTCCTCCAAATCTCCCAAACTCCCCCTCGCCCTGCCAGATGCTCCTGACACACCTGGACGAATCGTGTTATAATACTGTTTTCTGGCCCTCCTCCTCACGTCACGCCCTAAGCTTTAGAGGACAGGGGCCCAGTGGAGTCTTTCCTGGCTCACTCAGGAAAGAGGAACAAATGAAAAGAGGATAAAGCCAAAGACTAGTGAACACACACTGACTTTTAGGGACCAGCTCGAGAAAGACAGGTCTTTGAAGAGACTGAGAAGAGCTCAAAAGTTGCTTTGGATGTCAAAATGCCCCTTCTCTTTCTAAACTCCCCAAAGAAGAGGAAATGACTCCAGAGCCATCCATCTTAAGATATAATAGGAATAACAATATCTCCTTCATTGGCTGATTATGAGTATTAATCAGATAATGGATACAAAGTGGAAATGGATACAAAGTGGATAAGTCAGATAATGGACACAAAGTACATAGAGTAATTACCCAGTACTATTATTTTCCAGGCAGAAATTTTCAGGGTCTCCTTCAAATTCTAGATCCTTGCTGCCTCAGCTTCCCCTGCAGGTCTGACCCTTCTTCCCTATTCTTCTCCCCTACCTTTGCCTCTTCCCACTCCTGCTCCTCTTCCACCCCCTTCCTCCCCTCCCCTCTCCCTCCCTACTCCCTCTTTCCTGTCCCCTCCAGCTCACCTTTCTCTTTTTCCTTCTCCTTCTCTTCTCTCCCCCCTCCCCCTTCCCACCATTGAACTCTCCCCATTGCTTGCTCTGCCCAGCTGACTACACAAAGTGAAAACGAAACCAAACTGCCTGGATCTACTACATTTAGATTACCTACTACACGTAGGTTAGTCCATTACCTGAGCTATAGATTTCTTAGATGTAAAATGCAGATGTTGTTAAAGACACAAACAAACAAGCAACAAGTATTTAATTCACATTTGCTTTGAAAATGGAATAAGATATATAAGTAAGACTTACCAAATTGGCTGGCCAAATTAGCTAGCCCTCCATAAAGTGTTCAGTGATTCTTATCTATTCATTTTCTTTCTCTCCCTTTCTGTTCCTCTTCACCTAGGCCCAGGGCGAAGATGAGAAAAGTCTAAATGGTACAGTTCACAACAAGAGTACCATGACTCAAAGAAAGAAGCCCTCTTTGGCCTGATGCTAGCATCAAAGAATCTTATTCACCCTCACTGCACATTGGTCATATTTCTGACCAATCTAGATTTTGTGGTCACAGGTAGAGATGCCTGTATGCTCTTGCAAAATTCTAGATTTTCTGATGAAAAACAGAGTTTGTATGACCTTGTTCTATTTGCAGAAGTAAAAAAAAATTTTCTGTTCTTGGGAAATATCAAGTATTGAAAAAAGCAAAATACATCTTTATAAAATTTAAACAAAGAGAGAATTGCATGTTACTACACGGAACAGATTCCTCTTTAAATTCCCTTCTGAAATCAGGAAAGAAATCATGTAAAAGAGGCCTAATCAAGGTGTGGTCCGAAAACTATGCCCTGTTTTAAGTACAGGAATTGAAAATGTTTAGAAATGTTTACAGCACTTTGGTACTCTCTGGATATCCAAGCCCTTAATCAGTGGTCTCTTCTTATTCAGTCGGGTATAGAGCAGTTCGGTTGTTGTCAAATTAGTTTTATGAGACCAGAGCTCCTCACCGTCACCACTTACTGGTCCTCAAAGAATTGGGAGGTGGGGTAAGGTACCGTAGGGGGAGGCGGAAGAGAGACCGGCCTTTCCGCCCAGTTTGAGAAGCACCGATATAAACTGTAGTTCCACAATTTACGTTGTCTGACCATTGGCTTATCAGTCTTTAAGAGTTCATTTATACGAGGTCCAAAAATGTGGAAACATCAATTGTGTGGGATATACACCACCTTGTAGTCTTCTCGGATGGAAAACCGGTAGGTTTTAATCTTGCACCTCCCCTGTCGAACGTGCCCGGCTGAACCCCTGCTGGAGCTCACCGCTCGTCCTAGAGAGACGTCTGCCATCTCGTGGCTGCAGACGTCGAGCGCAAGACCAAGCCGCGCGCTGGGCACCACCCGGTCTGATGGGCAAAACGACGCTTTCTCCGAGGTCTTCTGGCCAGTTCTCCCTCCTCTGGGTAAATCCATTTTAAACAAGGGAACAGACTTTAGGAGAAGGAGGTAAAAGGGTTTCTCATGACTGTTTCAAAAGCGCTTCCAGGGGCGCCTGGGTGGCTTAGTCGGTTAAGCGTCCGACTTTCGCTTAGGTCATGATCTCGCGGTTCGTGGGTTCGAGCCCCGCGTCGGGCTCTGTGCTGACTGCCAGCTCAGAGCCTGGAGCCTGTTTCAGAGTCTGTGACTCTCTCTCTCTCTCTGACCCGCCCCTGCTCACGCTGTCTTTCTCTCTCTCTCCTAGAAATAAATAAAAATTAAAAAAAAAAAAGCGCTTCCAGCTCTTGGCAAAAGTCTCTGGTTCGTCGCAGGCGCTCAATAAATACTGTAAGCGTGCGTTTCGAATGAATCACTTTCTACGGTATTTTCTAGGAGGAATGGTGGGAGTTGTGAAGCCCTCCGGGGGAAACCAAGCGTTCTCATTCAGAAGAAGGCAAAGAAGGTTTGGACTGAGGCTGCTGATTTGCGCACACTAACTTTTGCTGGTACTAGAAGGCGAGGCGAGTGCCTTATAACCTTAAAGTGAAAACTTAGGAGGAGGGAGGGGCGGACTGCGCAGGTCAACTACAATTCCCAGAATGCCCGGGGGCGGGCCCCGCGGCTGCGCAAACGGGCGCGCGGCCCTCATGTGACTTCAGCATGGCGGTGTTCGCGGATTTGGACCTAAGAGCGGGTTCCGACTTGAAGGCGCTGCGTGGGCTGGTGGAGAACGCCGCTCACCGTGAGTCTCCCAGGCGCGGCCCGCGGTGCCTGCCCGGGCTTGCTGTCCCCAGGCCATCGGGCCACTTTCGAGAGGGACCCGGGGGCCTGTCCTCGTCCAGGTCTCTTGGGATCTCTGCGATGTCCCTGGAAGCTGGTGCCCCCGCGGTGTTGCTCTGATCCCGGGCGCGGGAAGCTTGAGAGCTGCTACCTAGTCCAGCTCCTTTCCTCCTGCGTGTTGAGGAAACTGAGGCCCTGAGAGGATGGGAGATTTGTATAGAGCCCCGTGGCTGATGGATGGCAAAAGCCAGGGCTTCCGAGTGTATAAATATGCTTCACCAGTGCTTTCAGTGTCACCACCGCCACCCCCTTCCTGCCTCATGGCAGTAGCACAGCAATTTGGGAAACAGGTGCTCAGGGAATGCTGTGGAGATTCAGAGAAGGGGGCAGGGACGTGAGGGTGACCTTGTTGGAATACTGTTATTAAAAATAAGGAGAGGAGGGTGGGGCGAAGGATGTACTAGGCGACTGGGAGGGAAGCAGCACGGCCAGGATGCTAGAATGTTAGTCATATTTGAATCCAAGGGAGCAGAAGCCCTGAAAGATAAGACCCTGTTTTAATTATTGGAGTTAATCGTCACTGCAGCCTTCTTCCTTCCACTGTAAAGTATGAGGATAGACAGGTTTAAAAATAAAGAGGTTCTGTAGAGCCTATCAAATAATGAATGCTTAATAACTATTTGAGAGGGGAAGGAAGGAAATTGGACAAACTGATGAGAGGGAGAACCACTCTTTTGGCATTAGTAAGCATTATCTTTTAATATTAGTATCCTGTCATCCCCATTGGTATTTAAATAACTTGAAGGTAGGCGTCATGATTTAGACATATTTTTGGTGGTCTGAATGTGGATAACAGTGCCACATTGAGACTGATAAAGTAAGGCCCTGGCCTCAGAGAGTTCCCAATCTATTGATGGTGGGCAGCTGGAAAGGGGAAGTGAGCAGTGGTGTGAGGGAGTAATTATTCTGTTTCTCCTTAGAAAAAGGGCCTCTGCATGAAGTAGAAGGGTAAAAAGCAAAGAAATGAGCGAGACAAAAAGCTATCACTTTATACATCACAGAGGTCAAACAGAGCCCTGCCTCTGTGCCTGTACCTGCTCTAAAACATCTCTGCTTATTATCTTAATTCTCATGACAGCCGTGTAAGATAAGTTCTGTTGTTAACAGCATTTGATAGTTAAAGACCCTGAAACTTGAGGTTGGATAACTTGTAAGTGGTAATGCTTAGATTTGAAACCCCTAATCTTGACCTGAGTCAGGCTGAGCCTATGTGTACAGGAAAGAGGTTGTTACCTTTAACACGAATGTTCAGTTTTTTTTTTTTTTCAGTGGGCTATTCAGTTGTTGCCATCAATCATGTTGTTGAATTTAAGGAAAAGAAAGAGGTAAAGAATATTTTCTAAAGTTAATAATAACCAGCTTTTGCAATTGTTTTTGTTTATATTGGAAATATAGAAGCTACAGATGAGCAGATTTCTTAAATGCAAGCTCTTTTGCACTATCTTATTTTATATGTTAACAGTGGGAGAGATGCAAAGTTTTCTTTCAAGTACAAGGGCATGGTAGAAGGTTTCTGAAAGTTGAGTGGATGTCAATTAAGTAACTTGCAATGATTTTTAGAAATATATTGTTACTGACTAAATGGCAATTGTGGTATTTAGCCCTTTTTATTTTACTGGCTTGGACTCATTGCTAATTGATTTACTTCTTAAACATGCTAGTAAATTTGTATATTTCCCTTTAGACCAGCAGCTGTACCTTATAGATTATCCCAGCCTAAAAACTATTTTTCATCCCTTTTATCCATTGATGTTCTCAGCTGCTTCTCTGCTCATCTGCTTTCTTCATTTAAAACCAAAAACGAAAACAAAAACTTATTTAGCGTTTCTGGATGCCAGAAATTAACTTTCCTGAAAACCCCTTGTAAGTTTTCCATTGTGCTTCATTCCATTCACATGTAAAATCTAGGGTGACTGTTTATTGTTTGTTGTAGGAAATTGAAAAACCAGTAGCTGTGTCTGAACTCTTTACAACTTTGCCAGTTGTACAGGTGGGTATTTTGTTGTTTAAGAAGTATAATACCTGTTCAGACATGCCCAGTTTTACGTAGGGTTCTCTAACCTGCTTTGCTCCTTCCTTTACCTGTCTTTCTTTTCCATCAAGACTCAGCCCTTCCATGAAGGATTGTCTTACTATCAAGTCAGTATTCCTTTATGATCTTCTTTCCTGAAGTCCTATAACCTTTAAAGAATCCCATTGTGTAGTTTAACATATATCTTTATTTCACTAATTATATTATAAATTCCTTGAGAAGAAAGACTAGGTTTTACTGATCGTCCCTATCCTTTATTGGTAGTGCCTTTTAATGACCACTTTCCACTGGTAAAGAAGAAAATCATTCATTTGTATTTTGAGCTTTTTTTTTTTTTGATAGAATGTTTTTGATTATAGGGAAAATCAAGACCGATTAAAGTTTTAACTAGACTGACAATTATCGTTTCGGATCCATCTCACTGCAATGTTTTGGTAAGCTAATTCTTCTTCTTTTTGGCCCTGTAAGTTGTATTGGTTGATGTTGAAAAGTGTTGGAACCCAGTCTTCACCTCACCCCCTCTGACATAGCCTGCCCTCCAGCGTGACACATGCCTGTTCTCCCTGTCCTCAGAATTCACAGAGCATAGCAGTCTCTTCTACTCTTGGCACATAACTAAAGGATCCTTGGACAACTGTTGTTCATTGAATTTATATAAACCAGACATAAGGTGGGTGCTAGGGATATTGCTGTGAATAATATAGACACAGTTGTTGAACTTAGGAAGTGTATAGTTTAATTGGCAAGACAGGCGTTAAACAAATAATTAAAAACGTGAGAGATATTTTAAAAAGGTGGAGGCAATAAATAGAGGATGCTCTGGGAGCGTGTAACAGGGGAGCCAACCTGAGGAAGTTGATATTCCAACTGGGGCCAGAAGACTCAGTAAGTGTTACATAGTGCTGAGCAGAAGAGAGAGTGTCCCCACAGCAGGATGTGCAGGTGAACATGGTGTGTTCTTGGAAATGAAACAACACCGGTAGGGCTGAGCCTAGTGAGCTGGTTAACCTGAGATGAGGTTAGGGAGGTAGGTGTGGGGGAGCAGATGGAAGCCCTTGAAAGTTTTAAGTGAGGGAGTGAAATTTTGATGTTTTGCATTATAGGGAATGGATCAGAGGGGTTGAGAGGATTTGAGAGGCGCAGTGAGGGGGACAGGGGTTGACAGGATTTGGTGATTGACTGGACACAGAGTGATGGGGTGGGGGGTGATTGACAGGATTTGATGGTTGATTGGATATAGAATAATGATCCCCAGGCATGGCCTAAGCACCCTTCTAGGTAGATGGTGGTACCCTTTCCTGAGAAGGGACATACAAGGAGGAGCAGGTGTGAGGGCATCATATTTGGGACATTATTGTGAGGATTCCAGTAGAGCTGGTCGAATGCACGGTTGGAAAAAGGTGTGTAGCCTTCGGAAGAGTGGCCTGATTAAAGATACTTATTTGGAAGTGGTCGCCCTATAGAGAACAAATGAAGTGATGGCCATGGATGAGAATCCCTGGTCCAAGTGCAATGTATCTAAAGAGAAGTTCTGGGGCACCGGGGTGGCTCAGTTGGTTAAGTGTGCAACTTTGACTCAGGTCATGATCTCATAGTTCGTGAGTTCAAGCCCTGCATCGGGCTCTGTGCTGACAGCTCAGAGCCTGGAGCCTGCTTGATTCTGTGTCTCCCTCTCTTTCTCTGCCCCTCCCTCACCCATGCTCTGTCTTTCTCAAGAATAAATAAACATTTAAAAAATTAAAAAAAATAAATAAAGAGGAATTCTAGGACAGAGTCCTGAGGAACTTCAGTATTTAGTGGTGGAGCAGAGGAGGAGGAGCTAGGATTGGAGACTGAGGAGGGACTGTGAGAAATAGGAAGATGTGAGAAAAGTGAGAAGGGAAAGTGAGGACTGGTCAGCAGCATCCGCGGGCCCCCGCAGTCCAGCAGGAGAAGAGCTAAAGCATGTCTTGGATTTATTGGAGGGGAAGTTATTGGTTGCCTTGGCAAAAACCATCTCCATGGAAATGGTAGGGGAGTGAGGAAGTGCAGATGGCCTGTGATGCTGACTTTGCTTGAGAAACTGACTCTGCGGGGGAGCGGAAGGCGCAGGGAAGTCTGGAGAGAACCTGCTGTCTGGGTTAGGTGGGAGAGGGGAGCATGCCTGCCAATGGGAAGGATCTCATGAAGGAGAGAAAGCGAGATCTCTGAGAAAGTGAGTTTTATTGTGAGCCGGAATGGACTCCTTTGCCATAGAACGGGAGTCCTCAAGGAAAGGCTGGCCTCCTTTATAATAATTAGCATTGCTAATGAAATTATGGAAAGCTAAATCTGGGGATTTTATACAGCTGCACGGCAGGGTCCTGGTTTTTGAGGCCCAGGTAGGCATAAAGGAGCTGACTTTTGATGGGTCACAAACATGTTCATTTTCTCTTATTACCCTGAACATCCTGGTGGCCCCTTTTTGTCCCCTTTCCAATTGGGAGAGGCCAAGCAGAGGGCAAAGAATTTAGATCCAGACTTTCCTACAACCAGGAGCTGCCCTGTGTTGGCATGGGTGTGCCCAGCAGCCCTTCCCACCTGCTTCAGCTTCTCTTCAACCCTCCCCTCTCCTCCTCTGATTTTTAGAATGCCTTTTCTTTTTACAAACTAAGAAGTAAGCATTGTAAAGGTGCAAACAGGCAAAGAAAAAATATCACATATTATCCCCTCATTCAGAGACTGTGTTTGAATATACATTTGACCCTTGAATAGCACTGAGGTTGGGGGCACCAAGACCCCACCCCTACCCCACACAGTTAAAAATCCATGTATGACTTTTGACTAATAACACAAACAGTTGATTAACACACATTTTTGTATGCTATATGTATCACATGCCATAGTCTTACAGAAAAGTAAGCTAGAGGAAAGGAAACGTTATCAAGAAAATCACAAGAAAGAGGAAATACCTTGATAAGACCGTAGTCTATTTATTGAAAAAAAATCCATGTGTAAGTGGACCTTGTGCAGTGCACACCTGTCCTGTGTTCAGGGGTCAGCTGCGTAGGTTTCCAGCCTTTTCATGTACCTACACACACAGCTTAAGTTGGGGATTTTCGTTTCTGAGCAATAACTCTTTAACTGATATATTCCTCTCCTTCTGTCCTAGGACCATCAGGTGTTTTCTTGTGCATCTAGCATTTCAATTTCTGTTTAAGAGCATTCTCATTGTGAACCTAATGATATCACACTTAGCGTGTGTATTTCTTGTGTCACAAAAAAGTGGTGAGTTCATCGGGAGCAGAGGTACACCTGAAATGGTTTTGTATCCCCAGGGCCCTGCACACAATAGATGCTCACTGTCTGGCAGGCTCCTCCACTCCCTCGTAGGAGCAAGAGCTATCCAGTTTGATTCTTCTGTCTCTAGCACAGTTGGTAGGAAGGATAAGGATTGGTGGGATCTGAAATCTCATGTGTTTAGGCAGTCGTTTCTGTCAACATACAAAACAAAACAGAAATGGCACATAAGAAGTATCGCGTGATTGAAATGTAAGTACAGCTAGGCCTCGAGTCAAAATTCCATGTGTGTGCTCTTCGTTATTGTACAGTAACATTCTTTTTGTATCACCAGAGAGCAACGTCTTCAAGAGTCCGGCTGTATGATATCGTTGCAGTTTTTCCAAAGACAGAAAAACTTTTTCATGTAAGTAACGGAGAGTGAAAGAAAATAGGATTTGTTATTTTATGTACGAAGTCCGATGTTATGCTTTTGCAGGTGACCTGTTTCACTCCATCTGGAAACTTAAGATTTTTCATTTATACTTGGAATTCTGGAATTTCACGAGAGGCTGCTTAGGTGGCATGTGGTTTTTTGTTTTGTCTTACTCATCTTGCTGGATAGTTGATGGGCTCAGGTTGAAAAGGTCCCTCAGGCTTTTTTTCTGTTTCTTTTTCTCTGCTTCATTCACTTATCCATTCATCCATTTAAAACTGCTCTTAGGTAAATATTGGTCCGTCTCTTTCTAGCTCAGAAATCACTTCAGTTTCTGCCCTCCATACTGTTCACTGCTGCTGGTGAGGGAAGTAGGTGTGAAGTTCTACTATGGCATAAAAGAGCTCATCTCTGTGTTAGCTTTCTCCTTTGCATGTTCCGAGGTGTGGTCCGTATGCCAGCATGATTAGTCAGCCTTTAGTCTTCGAAATCCTTCAGAATCAATCATCTGCTCCTGCTCTTCCCCTTCGTGTTCTGAGAGCCTTTATGAATTTAATTCCTTTTGTACTTTTAAAATTGCCATTTCTGTGACTTTTCAGGAGGGAAGGTTGTTAAACATGCATGGTCATTTTGTCAAATTGAGACCAAATACATTGAGTATTTTATTTTATTTTGTTTTATTTTTTTCACACTGGGCATTTTAAGTGATTACAGGAAAGAAAAAAAATCAACTGTAATATGTTTTTTTCAGGAATATGTTTTACTGTGTGTAATATGTATAGCTGTGTTCAGAAAGTTCTGAATGTTGTCTTCATCTGGATTCGAGAAAATAGCCATCAACCAAACCTATATCCACCAAATGGATATTGTAGGGAAAAAGAATGTACTGGTCTTTGACGTTTTAAGTTTACATAGTTAATTTTTAAACAAAATCTGTTTTAAAATTATAGAAGCTTTCCCTAAGTTTATCCAGTAGATGGAGCTGTTGACTAGGGAGGCTGATGTGTGATTGCATTCAGTTTTTAAGATAAGTTATCGGTTCTTAATTATTCATATTCGCACAAAATGAATTAGCACAAATGAATGAAATAGCACAAATTATCTATGAATGCCTTTTTAAAAATTTGGTGACTCCCTTCATAAAATGCTCAATTATAGTAATTCTCAAGAATTTTGTTTCAGAAAAAGATGAGTTGGATCAAGTGGTTCTGTTTCCAGAGGTCCTGTGGAACTTTTAAAAATCAGGCGAGGTCAGATCTCCCACTACTGGGGGTTCTGATCTAGTAGGTCTGGGGTTTTGAGTGTTCTTTTTTTCGGGTTCCGCAGAAGACTCATTCCCTAAGGAGGAAGCATGGGTGCCTCGAGTTTCATTAAATAGCAACTTAGTTTTGTTATTAAGTAACAGCAACTTAGTTATAATGTAGACTGAACGTTGGCTTTGTACCTCATTTTTTTTGTCCATTTGTTTGAGTTGATTCTGGAGCACACACGATTTTCATTTCCATAGTCATTTACTGGTGATTGGAGAGACAAAACACTTAAGAAAGACATACATTTATATATCCTTCCAAAACCTTCTATGTATTTATTATCTTTAACACAACAATCCTGGGAGTAAACTGGACAGATATATTTTATTATCCTCATTTTTTAGAACAGAAAGTTGAGATTTTAGGCTAAGTGATTTGCTGTAAATCTCAGGTAGTATGTAGTAGAGCCAGGACTTAGGGTTTTAGAGTACATTAAAATTTTATGTAGCCTTTTTATCCTACTACAGTTGATCCTTGAACAACATGGACTTGAACTGCACAGGTCCACTTTATGCAGTTTTTTTAATAAATATAGTACAGTACTGTAAATGTATTTTCCTTATGATTTTCTTAACTTTGTTTTTGTCTAGCTTACTTTGTCATGAGAATAGTGTATCTAATACATAAAACATACGAACCTGTTAACTGGCTCTTGATGTTATCAGTAAGGCTTCTGGTCAGTAGTAGACTATTCATAGTTAAGTTTTTGGAGAATCAGAAGTGGGAGGTTGACACCTCTAACCCTCATGTTTAAGGATCAGCTATCCTTGTTCTTCTCAGATTATTCAAAAGGGTGACTTCAAAGGCATGAACACATGCTTTATATTGTGAATAAAACTGTCAGAAGCACTCTGGGAGATGGATTAAAGCTATAAATAACATACAGGGCATTTGGAATTGACTCTACAGATATACTCAACAAGTGACATTGTGATGGGTTTTGAAATTGGAACATCTTCCTCTTCTCTGTCCAGATCTTACCCATTCATTAAGATACGGTTGAAGTTAGCATTCTCCCTTTTTCCACAGAAAATCAATTTTGAAAAGACATTTTCTTTATTTAATCATAAAACAAGTATATATCATGGTCTGGAGTTGGGTCAGATGCAAGCACTTTGTTGCTTAGCAGGTTGTATTCTATAAGTGATTTTATTTGTTTGGCTTTTAAGTTGATTAGAATTTAAACAAGCATCGTTGTAGATGTAATATTCTAAAACTAAGGTCTCTGAAATGAGTCATAAAAGCAAACACACACACATATGTTAACAATTAGTAGTTTAAAACCTAACCACCTTAAATAGCATTGTTTCCATGGGAAATAACATGTGATTTTCCATTCTGAGTGTCTGGAAGATGTCTCATGGATAAATCCTCCCTCTCCATAGTTACCCCAGGGGATAAGGCAGAGATGAAAGATTGTAAGGGGAGTCCATTAACCAAGGCTTCGTGGGATGGGAAATGGCAGTGGAATTTGACAGACTGTTATATAGAAGCTTCAGGAACTTTTGAGTTAATTATTCCCATTTGAGATTTAAAGTAACTGGAGGAGAAGTGAGGAGAAGTTACTTAGCGCAGTGGTCTCCAAAGTAGTCCAAAGTGATCTCCCTATCGATACTGCACCTTCATCCTCAGTACGTGTATGTTTATTTTTGTAGGAGTTGTTTGTATGTCCCATTATATCAGTATGATTTATGAAATAATGTATACACACAAAACAGATTTTAAGAGAGTAAAAAGTAAATGGAAATAGAAGTTCTGTTTTCTTCTTCCTTCCAAAATCCATGCCTTACCCTTTGAAGAGCAGTGTCACAGACTCTGCTCGGAACACCTTGAGGAGAGGGAGTACCGTTTGAAGCAGTGCTCTCAAGCTTTAGTCTGACTCCACCAGCTTCAGAATTGACAGGGCTGGTTGTTAAAATGCAGGCTATTAGGCCCTACTTACTGAATTTATAACTGGGAGGAAGGCCTGATAATCTCCATTTTAAATAAATTCTTCAGGGGAGTTTATATATATATGTATATAAACGTGCATGTAAGTGTGTATATACATATGTGTATATATGTATATATTTGTTTATGTATATATGTGTGTATGTATATGTGTGTGTGTGTATGTGTGTGTATACCTTCAGTTGAGAGGCACTGTTTATAGACATCTCTCTTTTCCCTGTGTAAGTCTGGCTCTCTCTTGCATGTTATTTGTCATAAAGCACCACCATGTATTAACCTGACACCCATGAAGGGGATCTGGGGTAGACTGAGTCCCTACCCTCCTGTTTCCCTTGTTGTATAGAATCAAAGGTAAATGTATCTATGAGTACTTGCAAACTCCTTGAATCCTTGTGGGAGTCCTTGGCCGTAAAAAAGGTGAAGAACAGCTGATATGAATTCATAGGCAACTTGCCAAAACCACTATAATAAGGTTCTTAATTACAAGTATTCCTTGACCATAATTGAATCCGATTTAATGATATAGAAAGTATTTCATTGTAATGTGAAATTAGCGCTTATTTTATAGTTATCAAAATGTATCAATTGAACATTTGTATTAACAGAAAAATAACAAAAGAATTCGGCCTGAGACATTTTACATTTGAGGGGTCAGAGGGAGCAAATGAACATTTATTATAATACATGTACCTACACTGACACTAGGGATATTTTTTAATTAGCTGCTGTTACATAAGAGGGGGGAAAGGAGCAATACATAAGTTAAAAAGTAGCCTAATTTAGCTTTATTGTGGGGAAGAATGCTTAACAGACTTTAAAAAAGTGAATGTTTCTAAATAAAAAATAATGATAATAAACTCAATACAGGGGGATGTGCATTGAAACGTACACTTTCTTTCCTACCTAATAGTCTCTGTCCCTTGTGTCCAGAGGCAACCACAGCTAACAGCATTTGTGTATCTTAGAAATAGTTATTTATCTACTCCTTCCTTCCACTCCCTCCTTCCTTCCTTTTTAACACCATACTTCTTCCCCCCCATCTAACAGTGTATATACTTCCATAATATCAATTAGAGATTAGAATGAGGTCATTCTCTTGAAGGACTCAGCATATTCTAATGTTTACAGGGACTATAATTTAAACAATATAGAGGGATATTTAGTTGCATCTCTTATGATTGGTTTTACAGGGACTGTCCTTGTGCTCATATTCTCAAGCATCTGTAGGGCATGTGGCTATAGAATATATTTCTAGAGGGTCTCTATAGGGTGCATTCCTACAGGTGAAATTGCTGGTGTGTGTGTTTAAAATTTTACCTGTTGCTGAAATGCTTTTCAAGATCCCGTACTAATTTAAAGACCCTGTGCATGCCTGTTTATTCATTCCCTTGTTAGCAATGGATCGCTGAACTTTTTGATCTTTCCTATTCTGATAGTTTGAAAATGGTGACCAGAAGCCACACTTGTTTTATCTTCTGTTTGGAGCTTTTCAGCCGTTCTTGTCACATTTTCAATGAGTCTTTTATGAGTCAGACAGCTGTAGCATTTGGGACGGGGCAGATTCCTCATGAGCCAAATGTTTCTGCCCGAACAGCATTACCTCCCAGGCTTGCTAAGTTACTGTGAGTGTCAGGCCACGCAGGCGCTGATCACTGCTTGCTTCCTAAAGCCCTGCAGTGGGGTCGGTGGGAATTCTGAAGAAAAAAGGCAAGGTGTGACATCCCTGTCATGGGTAGAAGGCCAAGCTGATCATAGGAGGGGACATTATCGTGGGCCCTTTACCGTCTTCCTTGCCCTGGCCTTCCCTCCGTCCGAGTCCCCGATGTCGGTTTGCCAGCATTGCCATCATGGCAGTCTGAGTTTGTTCATCAAGCCTACACGCACCAGCATTGTCAGCAAGGCTTATTTTTACTATGGTACAAAATAGGCAATTCTGTCTGTCACTGTAAATCGAGTAGTGGCAAGGTCAGAGCCAGGTCTGCATCTTCTAGCAGTGGTCTCGGCCTTAAACTCTTCTGTTCATAACCTTTCCCCAGCTTTATTTTGCTTCCCATTTATCCTGTTTTCCTTACCTACTAGTTTTATTTGGTATTTGGTAAGCCATTTCAAAGCCTTGGGAATAAATGCTGCGTATTGATCAGTAAGTAAGGGCAAAAATTAGAACAAAGGGAAGGGAAACTAAAAGTTGAAGAATGCATTCAGTATCATTTGATTTGTCACAGCTCTGCGTGGACCATTCGTGTAGACTGTTTCTGTTAGACTTTGAACAGGACGCATTGGGAGGGCACGTTAGTGTTCTTCCAGCTCCTCCGTAGACTGATAGGAGCCACAGGCTGGGCCAGTTCCTGGCACAGAAATAAATCTGTGGAATAAATGGGCCATGCCTGTATTCCTTTGGCCTATTTTTTTTTTCTTTTTCTTGGATTTCAGAACAACTCATTGCCTCTTTCTGGAACAATCTGAACTTACCTTCCAGAAACTGAGCCTCTCTTAGCAACCCATCCTTAGGTAGCAGACCTGGAGTTAGAGGGCGTCTAGGCTGTCTGTGGAAATGGCCCACGGACACATCACTGCTTCAGCTAGACTACAGCTACCCCGTCCAAACTAGGCATGAGGGAATGGCTAATCTCTGACGGACGGATTTCAACATAGAACCATTATGATGCCTCCAGAGTGAACCATGTCTGTCTATATTCCTTTAAATCAGGTGTGACCATATTTCTTAATGTGAACCAGTTTTTCGGCTTTACCTGTTTTTCTCCTCTTGACAGGTTGCTTGTACACATTTAGATGTGGATTTAGTCTGCATAACTGTAACAGAGAAACTACCATTTTACTTCAAAAGACCCCCTATTAATGTGGTAAGTGTCATACTTTCCATTCTGTACGTGAATCTGTAAAAACTTGCATTAACAAACTGGGGAAGGGGGAAAAGGAATTGATGTTCTTTAGAAGGAAAAAGCAAAGGCAGTTTAGAAAAGAGGATTTTGTTTTTGGAAGCTGACCAAAGGTAGAAAGGGAGCTTAAAAACTATCTAGTAAATTATTAAGATGTTTTTAAAAGGCTTTAGAAACCAAAGTTTATGAAGGATATTTCTTTTTTTTTTTTTTTAATATTTTTTTATTTATATCTAGGAGAGAGAGAGAGACAGCGTGAGCAGGGGAGGGTCAGAGAGAGAGGGAGTCACAGACTGAAACAGGCTCCAGGCTCTGAGCTGGCAGTCAGCACAGAGCCCGACGCGGGGCTCGAACCCACCAACCGCGAGATTATGACCTAAGCGAAAGTCGGACGCTTAACCGACTAAGCCACCCAGGCGCCCCAATGAAGGATATTTCTTAAGAGGATAGCCATAATGACAGACACTTAGAGCCTGAACATGGAACATGAGGGGAAAGGGCAATTGAGAAAGAAGAGGTAGGGGGAAAAAACACGTCGAGGGTTCCTGAGGCACCAGTGAGCTGGGACGGGTAGGAACAGAAAGAAGCAGGGCGTGGAAAGCCCAGTAGACAAAGTCCAGGCAAAATGAAAATCTGCATGGAAGCCTGCTGGTTCGCACAGAAGCCAGGGTTACTTCTGTAATCACCTGAGAGGACGGCCATGTATGCAGGGAAGTGTGGGTCCTTCCCCTGCAGTAGAAGTTTTCTCATTACCTTTCTACCTAGCTTCTCCTGTTCTTCCCTGCCCTTTGTCTTCCGTCTGCCACACCTTCTTGTCCGTCTTCTCTCATCATAAGGTGGTAGTTCTCACGTCAGTAGCCGGCGGGTCAGCACGCTGCCGGCCATTTCTGTGCGCAGCCAAGATCCTAGGGAAGGTGAGGACACTATTTTAGAATAGCAGCTTCCAGTCCTGTCTCCCAGTCTCCAGAACTACTCTTGAAGGAGAAAAAGGGTTCAACAGACCGTCCAGATGACATGCCCAGTCCTGTCAGAATTGGAAAATTAAAAATTTATGCACTTTTTCAAGATCGATAACTCCCCTATTTTGTCTCTGTAGAATCCCAGCTTCCTTAAGTTTTGTTTTGCCGTGGCCGCTGCCAGGGAATTGGCTCGATGCCAAAAATAGGGGGAGACAGTGAGAGGAGAACATTGATCTATGTGGTGTGCAAAAATTGAATCTGTGTGGAAAAATTTAAGTTGGCTTATGTTCTACCCCTAAAAATATGCTACTAAAAAACTTGAAAAGTACTCAGAATTTTGAAGTCATCTGTGTGAAGGGAAAACTATAAACCAGGGCTTCTTTTGATAAATACAGAGTGCTACTGAACATATAACAGTATTTATTAAGCTCAAATCATTGTTTCCCATGTTCTTACTAGTACTTACAAACAAGTAAGTAGATACTAAAAGAAAACCCCAAATCGTCACATTTTAGAGTTGGAGATCTATGTTGTTGAGCAGCTCGCTTATGGAATGTGATAAAATGCAGGCCAGCAAGGAGACGCTGTGCAGCTCTTTAGTCAAGGGTTGGGACTGGTCTGGTCGATACCCTGTCACAGGAGTCTCTGATAGGCCCCAGCTACCTGTGGTAGAAGGCACGACCTAAAACAGCTCCCAAGGTGATGGCAGTCTCGTTGGCCTCACCAGAGGTATTGTTCCTCTCCAGAGGTAGCAGTCCCTCTAGAAGTTTGCCAAGGCTTTATACCAGCTTCAACCCACCAGTCCAGTTTCTATGTGAATGGCACCCACTAGAGTTAGGCGATGCAGCCACTAGCAGTTGCTATTCAGCTTGCAACTGTTTTTACCATTCTCTTTGTCTTCATGAACAAGGAAGGCCATTTTCCAGAGGTCTTTGCCTGAGTAAACCCACACATGGTACTGTGTCCTTGGTTGGGAGGACAGAGTGGCATGTGATAGATTCTTTTTTTTTTTTTTTTTTTAATATTTTTTATTTATTTCTAGGAGAGAGAGAGAAAGACAGCGTGAGCAGGGGAGGGTCAGAGAGAGAGGGAGTCACAGACTGAAACAGGCTCCAGGCTCTGAGCTGGCAGTCAGCACAGAGCCCGACGCGGGGCCCGAACCCACGAACCGCGAGATCATGACCTAAGCGGAAGTCGGACGCTTAACCGACTAAGCCACCCAGGCGCCCCGGCATGTGATGGATTCTAAGGCCAGGTCCATGGGACAGAGGGCAGTGCACAGCACACAATTCCTCATGTCCCATAACAGTGGTAAGCTTCTTGGTGGCTGTTTTGGAAAAGGCTTTCAGTTGCTGCTGCTGTTGTTTTTTAAGTTTATTTATTTTGAGAGAGAGCACGTGTGCATGAGTCGGGGGAGGGACCTAGAAGGAGAGAGAGAATCCCATGCAGAGTCCACGTTTCCAGCACAGAGCCCCATTGCAGGGCTAGAACTCATGAGCTGTGAGATCATGACCTGAGGTGAAATCAAGAATCACACACTCAACCAACTGAGCCACTCAGGCTCCCCTCAGTTGGTTTCTTTGGAATGTGCTCTACTGTTAAGCCCTGGTGGTGAGCCTCTAGAGAGAACCAACTATGGGTGAGGCCTTTTTTAATCACCCTAATATCTTGCCTATAATGGATGCTTGCTAAAATTTGTCAGCGTGATGAATTTGTCTAATATATTCCTGAGGTGCAGCTTGCGGAACATGGACAGATCCTGCTTATCATCAGCCTTGAGCTGGTTGTCAGTATCTGGCAGGAAGCACAGGCCAGGAGGGAAGTGGGGCACCGGGGCAGCACAAAGCGGATGGCGCTGGGGACAGTGGCACTAGGACAGTCCACCGTCCAATTCCATCTGTAAGTTCAGGAAAAGTGTTTGATGGATATTTTTGGCTTAATTCCCACATATTTAAGTTTGAGAATTCTGAAAAGTAAAAATTTGACAAGTGGAGAGGGATATGCAGTATTTAACATAGTGTCTGCTTTTTTAAAAAATCTGGTGTGAACATTTTACATATGTTGTTTAATAAAAACTAGATGATGGAGTGGAAGGAAAGGCTGTGCAAGATTATTTTTAGTCTTCATCTAGTGTAGAAGTAGGCTGTGGTGTGAATCGGTCAGGAAGCAGAAAAGTCCCTATTAATTTATTCACCACCCATTTTCCATTTGAAAGAGAAAGCTGGAAACACATGATGAGTGGTATCTAGCTTATTGTTCAGGGGGAATAAGTTGTATGGATGTGTATGTATTGTTTGTGTCTAATCACATCTATTCTAGATGTGGAGCCATGTGCTTACATCAGAATATAGAGATATGTTCACCATGAATGTATGGAACATGTGGTCAATGTGGGTTAACGGTTAAGTCTTAAGACTTGATCCTTGCATACTTCTTTGGACTTGAGAGTAAACTTGTCTTTGGCCACGAGAAGTTGATAGGTTAGCTTTTATAAGGATCACTTTATGTGGCATAGATCTTAATTTGGGTAGGATTTGTACCATTTTCTTTCGTGGTGGTGAAAAGCAGGAGCATTAAGATATTTTATTCGTTAGTCCTTTACCTAGAGGCTTTAAGCCATGTGACAGTTATCAGCTCAAAAGTTTGGGATGCTAGTTTAGAGGGTACAAGTTTTCTGTTATAAGAAGAGTAAGTTCTGAGGATCTAATATACTTAGGTGACTATAGTTCATAATATTGGTGTTGTGCACTTGAAAGTTGTTGAGAATAGATCCTAAGCATTCTCACCAAGAAAAAAAAATTGACTGTGTTAACTATGTCAATTGATGGATGTACAAATTACATGGATCTTGGTAATCATTCCACAATGTATATGTCTATCAAATTATTGCATCATATACTTTAAATATGTACACTTCTATTATCAGCTATTCCTCAATAAAGTCAGAAGAAGAAGGCAGTTGGGATTATGAAGGAGGGGCTAGAGCAGCACACCAGAGCCCTCCATTTGTACAACTTACAGCTCACAACCCCTCGGTTGTCTTCACCATGTGCTTAGGGCACCATGATATCAATTATGTAATTTCCTCTGAAATCTACAAACCTCTTCTGGAGTCTAGGTAACTTGTATGGGAATCACAACTTTACCATGTGATAGCTGGCTTTCAAAACAATTGAAATCAGCTCTCTTGGACAATCAGATGACTTCTAATATCTTGTGCTTTAGGCACTCTCTCACCTGCTCTAGCCCAGTAGCTGTAGGGTGGGTAGATTTTGATCACCTCTATTCAGATAAGGAATTGAGACTCAGGTAGTATGTGGCTCTTCTCTCAAAAGTTGACTTGGGAATTGTATTCAGCTCTGATTCTAAATCTGCTATCATTTCCCGCTGGGAAATGCTATTTAAAATTACTTTACAGCAGAGCTCTTTGTTAAGCATGGAATAATTTCATATTTCAAAATGTGATCTTAAGGAATTCGGGTTTTGAGGATAATTTTTTTTAAGCAGTGCATATCTTTAGCTTCGCTTTGATTTTCCCCTGCCCCCAGTGTTATTGCCATTCAGCAATGACTTCAAGTCTCTGGAGTTATTTCAGTGCTTGTATGTGTTCTACTCTCTGATGTTTTCCTCTCAGCACTTCCTTTAACTGTAATCCATTTCTGTCTTCACGGTCCCATTAGTCCCCACTGAGAAATGTCCAGTAAACAGTGTCTGAAGCAGTGAAGTTGTTCCAGGAATCATGCCATATATACTTGAGTGAGAGCGCTCTCTACACTTTCTTTTTTGTCACACATATTGTGAACCTAACTGTGTTGAGTGCTTTATTGATCCAGTGCTTCCCCCAGTGGTAGCCAACCTGCGGGTCTCGAAAATTTTTACGTGGCATAAAAACCAGAAAGAATGTTAAAAGACCAATGACAGAGTGGTGAAAATATTTTCATTTATATCAGAGACAAAAGGTTAATCTCTCTAATATATAAAGAGCCCCTTGAAAAAATGAGGAGCTAAGAAAGCCAGATGAACAATCCTGTTTCTAAAATGGATTAAGAATATGAAAAAGACATTTCACAGGAAAGGAAATAACAGATGGCCCTCAAACATGAAAGATACTTCAATTCATCGTAATAGGAAAAACTCACATTAAAATCACCTAACTGGCACGCTCCCAGAGATTTGATGATACATTGTGTCATAAGGTTGAGGGAAAGCAGGCATTCTCATGCATTGCTTCAAAAAGTGTAAATTGAAGCGATCACTATTGGGAAGTGGGTAATTTGGCAATAACCATCAAAATCCCAAATGCTTTGCATTATGACCTTGTGTATTAGTTTTCAGGGCTGCCACAACAAAGTACCACAAACTGGGTGGCTTAAAACAACAGAAATTTATTGTCTCACACTTCTGGAGGCTAGGGGTCTGAAATTAAGGTGTCATTAGGATCGTGCTCCCCTGAAACCCTTCTCTCCCTCTTCCTGGCTTCTGGTGGCTTGCTGGCCACCTCTGGCATTCCTTGGCTTGCAGCTGCGTTGCTGCAGTCTCTGCCTTTGTCCTCACAGTGTGTTCTCCCTATGGTCATCATTTTGTGGGACACCAGTCATTGCATTAGGGGCCCACCGTACGCCAGTGACCTCATCTTAACCAATTACATCTGCAACAGTGCTGTTTCCAAATAAGGGCACATTCTGAGGTATGGAGGGTTAGGACTTCAACATACCTTTGTGGGGGTGGAGGGTGTGTGCGGCACAATTCAACTCGTAATACCCAGCAATTCCACTTTAGCGCTTATTCTACAAATATATTGAAACATCCCAGAGTCTATCAGTAGAGGTTTGTTTAATTACATGCCATACCTCTACCATGAAATACTATGCAGCTATAAAACAGAGCTCAAGTTATGAGCTAACATGGAAAACCCTTTGAGTGAGAACAAGAATGTGTTAGGCCATCTTCTGAGTAAGAAGAAAGATAACATAGTCATATTTGCTTATATTTGTATGAATACACTGTGGAAGAAGACTCAAATTAATAGAAATTATGGGAGGTAGGGATGGGACAGATGGGAGCAGAGGTATAAGTAAGACTTTATATTGCTTTCTTTTTTTTTTTAATGTTTGTTTTTGAAAGAATGTGAGCAGGGGAGGGGCTGAGAGAGAGGGAGACACAATTTCTGAAGTGGGTTCTGCTCTGACAGTAGAGAGCCCGATATGGGGTTCAAACTCATGAACCATGAGATCATGACCTGAGCTGAAGTTGGATGCTTAATCCACTGAGCCACCCAGGTGTCCCTTTATACTGCTTTCTAATGTTATTTTCATTTGTGAATTATGTGAACAAATGATCTGTCTTAAATAATGACACACCAAAAGGGCGTTGAATGGTTTTGAATTCAATAAAGCATTTTTATGAAATTAACAGAGAATCTGTATATTGTCCTAGTAATCAACTACCTATTTATTTCCTGTCATCTTAAGCTTTGCTTATTCTTGAAATTTTACCACCAGTATTTCTTGATTCAAGTATCAGACACCTGCCTTTGGTTTGTAGTGTCATTATGACTGTTATTTTTCATTAGTAAAGAAATCTGATCATCTGCTTATTCCAGAACCTTGGTCAGAGATACGAACAAAAGCTGATCAGGCAGGCAATGTCATTCTTTATAAAAGAGGCTGTTAGGAACAATCATTTATTTGATGAGTGTAAGGCAATTTACATTAGAATGGTCTTAGAAGCAGGCCCAGGTAATGAGTCTGTATTTTATCTATCTAAAAATTTAAAATGCGGTAGTGTTATGAAAGAAATATTCACAGCCTTCAACAGCGCATTATGATTTCTGTCTCAGACTTTTAGCTATTTAAAAGTGAACTTGATTAATGTACTAAGAGCAAAGTCAACTTTTTTCTTAGAAACTAATTAAGCTGATAATTGTCACTTTTCTTCCTCCTACCCCCCAAAAGAGGAGTTTTTAATTTTGATCTTATCCCCAGAGGGGACTAAAATTTTAGATACAGTTAGGAATACTTTATGATCTGGTCACCCAGTTGTGTGTATCATCCACATCTTTTATTTCCCCTCTTCTCCATTCTACTACATTGTGTTTTAATTCAGCAAATAGAAGGATGAAGAAAAAAGTGTCGGTTTCCTTGGCTAACTGGTAGTTCAGGTAAGAGAAGTAACCAATGGGATTGTTGGGAATCTGGCTAAAGGAAGTGTTTTGGTTTATCTGCTGAATAATTAGGCAAGCTCACCCTGGTTCCTTTTAATATGAATAATCCATAGTGAACAGCATTATCATATAACCTCTTTTCTGTAAGCTGCTGTTTACTCAGAATATAAATATATTAAACATGTTTTGTATACAAGGCAGTTGTGTTTTACGCAGTATCATGACACCTGCTCTCAAGAAGTGTACAAGACGGACAGGAAGAACGAGGAGTCCATTTAACTATGGCACAAAGACTATAACAGACATCATTCCTGGAAATAACACAAGCCCAGGGATTAGAAGTGGGGGAAAAGCTGTCAGAAAAGGGGAGAAGGGAAGGTTGCAGTATGGAAAATAGCATGTAAATTTTAATTAATATCAAGTATGTAAGGAAGTCTAAAATAAAATCTCCGAGTCTTCAGGCAGGAGGTAAGTTAAGGGAAGAGAAGATTAGGGGATGGGAGAAAGGCAGTCTCTGTTCAGGGAGAGAAAGTAGGAGCCTTCCATGTACACCTGAATTAAATCAAGGTGAGCTGCCGGTTGTGTAGAAGACAGGTTTTTCCGTTCCCTGTGAACAACAGGAGTAGACCTCCAGCGGCCCCAGCAGACCGCTCCCAGCTCATCCTCTGGGTGATAGAAATTCATTTGCCAGGAACAGACTTGGACTGTATTGTGGGGTTTGTGCCTGCTGTCCTTCCTTTGTTCATTCAGAAGACTGCTGCAACCAAGTGGCTTTGCCATTGCCCATGTTAGCATCCTTCAGTGCTTCCCACTGCTCAGATGAGTCCTGTCTCCAGTCCTAAGGACCTGTGCACGTGGCCCTTCTCATCCTCCTTAGCGTCCACTCCCACCATAGGGGCCCCCTCACTCTTTCTTCCTCAGCCCACAACCCCTCTCAGTGCTCCCGTATTCCCTCTAACCCCAGAGCCTCTCCATGTACTCCTCCCTCTACAAATGCTCCTTTCAGGGCACCTGGGTGGCTCAGTCAGTTGAGCATCTGACTTTGGCTCAGGTCATGATTTCACAGTTCACGGATTCAAGCCCCATGTCGGGCTCTGAGCCCCTGGAGCTTCAAATTCTGTGTCTCCCTCTCTTTCTGTCCCTCCCCTGCTCGGGCTCTGTCTCTGAAAAATAAATAAACATTAAAAAAAATTTTTTAAAAAAAGGAAATGTTCCTTTCTCTACTAGTTCCTCAATTCCTTCTTCACCCACTCCTAAACTTCTCCTTGGTTGCACTTCTCAGAGTTGAGGTTTTGTGTTTTTGTGTAATATTTGATAGCCCCCCCACTAAACTATAAGCTCTGAAAAGGGAGGAGCCATATCAGCTTTTGCTCACCATTCCCACACGTGGTTGGCATAACACATCTGTTGTGAGTGGATGAAGATAACTTACTTGCTCTTCAGAGAAGAGAACAGTGTAGTGGTGGATTTCAATCCTGTTTCCACCCCTTCCAGGCTATTTTCTTAGCTGTGGGTGCCTATCTATTAAGAATGCCTTGGGGCGCCTGGGTGGCTCAGTTGGTTAAACATCCGACTTTGGCTCAGGTCATGATCTCAGGTTCGTGGGTTTGAGCCCTGCGTCGGGCTCTGTGCTGACAGCTAGCTCAGAGCCTCGAGCCTGCTTCGGATTCTATGTCTCCCTCTCCCTGACCCTTCCCTGCTCACACTGTTTCTCTCTCTCTCAGAAATAAATTTTTAAAAACATTAAAAAAAGAATTAAAAAAAAAAAGAATGCCTTAAGTAGGAAAGAGGTTTCTTTTTCTCACGTGAGAGGCCAAGTTTGCCTGGTGAGCTGGACAAAATGGTCAAGAGCCCAGGTTTCTTCCACCTTTTTGGGGGGGCATCCATGAGCGCAGCCCAAACTCAGGGACTCTATTAGTAAATAAAGAAAAAAGGGAGAATAAAAACAAAACGTGAGGGAGAAGAGATATTGGGGATAGTTAGCAGTCTGTGTCACAAGGCCTGATAAAGGTGTCATAAAGGTTAAATATATGCATAAGACCCTTAGCACAGTGCCTGGCACATACGACTTCCTTCATTCAATTTATGTAGTAATTGATTTACCTGAGAGGTCTTCCCACCCCTGTTCTTTGAGCTTTTTTTCAGCTCTTCATTTCTTTGTCTCTTCATTCTTGGGTCAAATTACTTTTTTTTTTTTTTTGGTTTTACTATATTTGCAAATAGTTTATTTACCCTAAGTATAGGGGACATATCTCCATTTCCCTTGTACTAATTCATGGAGGAATAGCCCATCTGCTATCCCCCAGGACTTTGCTGTCTGTAGCCTCCCCGGGATTCCTATTCATATAAAGTCAGCTTTTCCACAGCCAAGATAAACTGTTGATCAAACAGAGCCACACACCTACCTTCTCCTGTGGATGGTGCCATTGGGGCGTAAATCCGCCTTTGTTTAAGATTGTACCTTGACATGCAGGAGGTGGGTGGTGGGGTTGAGGAGATGAGGGAGAATCTTAGTGAAAAAATATTTTTTAATGTTTTATTTATTTCTGAGAGAGAGAGAGAGAGGCAGCGTGAGCAGGGGAGGGTCAGAGAGAGAGAGGGAGACCCAGAACCTGAAACAGGCTCCAGGTTCTGAGCTAGCTGTCAGCACAGAGCCCGACGCGGGGCTCGACCCCATGAACCGTGAGATCATGACTTGAGCTGAAGTCAGATGCCTAATTGACTGAGCCACCCAGGCGCCCCATAATCTTAGTGAAAATAAAGTAGGACCATGTGTTTTTATCCTGGACGGTTTATTTTCTTTATTTCTTGTGCAGGCAATTGACCGAGGTGTGGGTTTTGAACTTGTCTATAGCCCAGCCATCAAAGATTCCACAATGAGAAGGTATACAATTTCCAATGCCCTCAATTTGATGCAGGTCTGCAAAGGAAAGGTATGGTTCCACAATCTTAGGATGTTTTTCAAATCTAGCAGTTAATTTTTACTAATACACTAGAATTGTTTAACTAATTCCTTTTCCCTAAAACAGAAAGTTCTTGAGGCCCAGAAACAAATTCTCCCATGTCACTGAGCCCTGCAAATTTTTTAAGGGAAAGAAAAATATCAAAGGAAGAATAATATGGGGTGGGGTGGGGAGATGATTTAAAACCCTTTATCTTCCAATAAGGAATTTGCAATTTACCTACTGTGAAAAAAACGGTCTGGATAACAATTGTTTGTCATCAGTGAATTGAATTAAGATTATGTGACCTTTTCAACTAGTTTTTTAAACGAATTTATCTTTTCTCAGATCTGGTGGGAAGGCTTACTCTATTTCTTGTCATATATAGGCTGCTGTTGATCATAAGGTCTTTCATTCTTTGACCCTGATTCTTTACCTTATCTTTGAAAGAGGTTGATATTTGTAGAGCCTTAAAATGTTGTAAAGTGATTACTGGTTATTTGTATTAGAAGACTTCATTTTTTATTTTTTACATCTATGTAAGATGAATAATATTGATCACTTTCTGTTTTGTAGAATGTAATTATATCCAGTGCTGCAGAAAAGGTAAGTTTGCAGTTGAGTGCTTTGTTTTCACTTTTCAAGTTAAAAAAAAAAACTTTGAAAAGGGAAATTTAAAATAGTCATGAAATGAATCCTTATTGAATATTTTCATTTTGAACTGCATTTGCTTGTTATAATTGCTAAAGAGTAAAATGTATCCCCATTCCTTTGGGCTGTAGTTTTCGTCTTTATGAAATTTTGTCTTTATGCCATTCTAAAAGCTTTCAAGTATCTTTTAGAAACTTTTAGCAACTTAAGAAAACCATCAAAATTGTAAGAACTGAAATTTATGCAGTTGATTATTTTTGGATACTTAGGCATCCTGTTGATTTACTGCAGATGAAATCATTGAAACGTTATGAATAACTTCTCTCCTATTTTTTGTTCATTTTATTTTAGCCATTAGAAATAAGAGGCCCATACGATGTGGCGAACTTGTATCCTTTTCTGAATTAGAAATTGAAGTGTTCTTTTAGGAAATTTGAAATTTGATGTGCTTGTAATAGCACATCATTTAATTATTTTTTAACCTTTTACCCTAAGGTTATCAATTAACAGCTTCAAAAACAAGTAGCATCAGGCCGTAGAGAGCTTCATCCTTTTGTTTTCTGGGTCGAGGGTGAAGTAGAAAAAGGGGAATGAGGGACTCTTAAAGCTTAGAGCGGATCTCGCAGACGCCTGTTCCGTTCAGGCCAAGAGCTGCTGTCTGAGATCTCTCGCGGTGTGAGCAGGTTGGGCTGGCCTTAGCAGTTTTATTTCTGTTGTCTCCTGTCTTTGGCTGCTGCTGGGTTGAAAGCTTTAACGGCCCCGCCAGAGGGTTGCTGTTCGGGCTGTCCGAGAGTGATGCCAGGGCAGCCGTGTCCACCAACTGCCGAGCGGCGCTTCTACATGGAGGTGAGCAGGTTCTTCCGATAAACACACCAGATGGGCATTTTAGGAGCCAGTCTTTGTTATCAGACAGCGGAGCTCTGTTTCCTTTACTGACCTGCTCTGTAGACTTCCTTGAGGGTCGCCACCGCTCAGCCTGTTTTGACTACCCGGCAACACTTTCCGCCCTTCCCTTCGGGCTTTACTCTGTGTGATCCGTGGAATGAATATAGCCTGCATTACAAAAATGAGTACTGAATGTGCCTTTCAAGCCCTGTCTACATTTTGATAGGCTTCTAGTCTAGGCTTTCTCCCTGCCTCCTCTCCAGAGGGGCATGCTTCCCCTGCCGAAAATCACCATTTTTGAGAACTGAAACATGAAAAATTGATGTTAAGCCATTTATTAAGAACCCAAAACAGCAGATACATTTAAAAAACCCAACTAACAAACTCAAATAGCCATTTTTCACGTGTATTACAACTCGTGATTCTTTTTCTCATTTTTTGTTTACATGCTCACCTGTGTGCACACCGTATGCTCTTTACTCACGTTTCGTTTACGTATATCTCCCTCCTCACCTTAATGCCACTACTTGAAGCCACTGAACTTCTTGTTCATCAGATGATAAAAATTAAACCACGAGTATTTGATATGCCAAGACTTTGGAAAATGAAAGTGAGGTTTTATTAAAAGAAAAAAAAATGCACACTTTGGATCTGCTGTCCTGTCTCCATTCTATGATGCTTAGCACCAGCTGCTGTGGTCACGAGGCAGTTTACTGGATACCACTTAGATGAATTTTAACCTTCAGAAAAAGGTTGCTACACTTAGATGAGGTTATGTGACATATGAATAGGTGAGTTATTGAGGCCTGTGTTGTGTCTAGATTTTAATGGTCTGATCTCCACTTGGGAGAGCTGGGTACTGTATTGACTTACCATGAACTAGATGATTTTCCTTCTGTTTTCAACATTTTTAGTTTGAGATTGTTATTAGCCTAGACTCCGTCACATAAGCTCTGGGATTGGCCAAATTAATTAGGACTTCATCAAGATTTTCTTGAAATTAGGGAACAGTTGGTTCATGCTTTCGTTGTTCTGCCATTATTTTTGTCTGTTTTAAGTGAACATAAGGAATTCTTGAGATTTTGGATAACAATTGGTGTTCCAAAATAGATTAAACAAGAACGGGAGACTAATAAGAACATATAAAGGGGAAAATACGAAGTTCTTCCTTTGACTTTAAAAAACTCAACTGTTCAACATAGGACATATATAAAGCTACACTTTTCTAGAAGCTAAACTAAAGGAAGCCTTATGGACTTTAAGGTAGCATTACTCTTCACCCTAGTGACAGTCCTAGTGTATGCCCGTTGTCCCTGCAGAATTAACAACATGTCTAGAGGATGTAGTATGGTTACTCAGGTGTTAGTTGACATTGAGATTAGTATTAGATTGTGGTGTGGTGGGTTCCTAAGATTGCTAATTCAGCCTCAGGTTACACGAGAAGAAATAAAAGAATCTGAAGCAAGGGGATTCAAGATTACCCTCTGCATTGATGAGATCTCAGCTGGCATGTGTATCATCCTGAGTGCCACATATCAGAAGGGCAGCAGTGCACAGGAGCCCTTCCAGAAGATGGCCAATAGGTTCTTAAAGGGCTTGGAAACCTGCTCATGAGGGAAAGTGATGAAAGCAGTGCTGGAATGGATACCTGGAAAACAGAAGACTTAGGACACATAGTAGCTGCCATTCAATGTCAGAAGGCTTGTTATGGGGAATCAGAATTAGATGGGTCCTGTGGGGTTCCAGAAACCGGTGAATAGCTACTCTAAGGAGGTTGTACAGAAGGGACAGGGGAAGTGGGCATTTTAATGACCTTGACAGTTCTATCCCTTTTATAAATTCAAATGTTTTAAATAACTGGCAAAGATCTAGGAGACCTGGTAAATTAATCCTGATAAATGAGAAGGTAATGCTTGCTTAACTCTTGAGAATTAACTTTTATTACTTCAAGCAAGAAATAATTCTTAACTAAATTTATGTTCATGAAGTTATTTTGATTCCACCTTCTTTGCTGCTAATGGATCTCTCTCCTCCCTAGTCCTTCCTTATTTCATCAGGGTTAAATTTGGATCTTTGTTTTCATGGCACTATAGTTCTTTGCAAGCTACCTCTCCTGCCCTGCTTCCCCCTATTTTTTTTCACACTCCTCCTTCACACCAGCTTATTGTTCCCTAAACATACTAGGTTCTTCTTACTTCTCTCTCCGTGCTTTTGCAAAGAAATCCTTTCCTCTTTCTCTTTTCCTTTCCTTTCCTTTCCTTTCCTTTCCTTTCCTTTCCTTTCCTTTCCTTTCCTTTCCTTTCCTTTCCTTTCCTTTCCTCTTATTTCTTTTTTGGATTCCTAGTGTTGTTTCTGTTACAATACCTTCCTGATTGATCCAGGCAGCTGCATCTTCTTATGGGCACCTCTATTCCTGTTACATTTGCCCAGAATGTGCTTATCTCAGTGTGTGGTAGAAAGAGGCACTAGGTAGGCATCTCAGTACCCTTTGTAGATGACATAGAACTCTGCTGCCAGCCTGACCTAACATCTCCTAATTCTCATTCTTTGTCTGTTGTCACCAATATATGAGAGATTGAGAAATGCATGAATTTGATTTTCTTCATTCACTCAACAAGTAGTTATTGAACACCTGTTAGATAACAGGCATTGCTGGGTGTTTGACAGTACAATATGATTGATTCTTCAGAGGTACACTGATGACCTAGTGAGTGACCCAGATGTGGTATATGCTGTAAAATGAAGTGAGCACACATAATCACCATGGGAATGGCAACAGTTTACCGTTGACCTCGGGTCTGGATTCATTTTCCTCCCATACATAAAGTGTCTGCCACACCAAGGTCTGTGACTTGGGTCCTGGCTACATAAGATGCCAGGGACACATTAAAGAGAACCTGCCCTGCAGTTTTATCCTTGAGTAATCCCTTCAAAATGAATTAGATGTAAATAATATACTGATGTTTATCTACATTGTGGGGAGAAGGCAGTAACAGTGGATGGCATCAGAATCCATAGCTGTTCATTCTGGTTTTATCATTTACAAATACTGTTAAGTCAAAGTAACATGGTGAAACTTGTTAAACCACCTGTTTTTCACTCATGTCTTAACTCTAAGCACTATGGTTTCCCTGTTTGTTTTACAGAAACTAGAAAAACTGCTTTTGGAATTATTTCCACAGTGAAGAAAGCTCGGCCCTCAGAAGCAGATGATGATTCTCTTCCAGCTTGCAAGAAAGCCAAGTGTGAGGGCTGAAAAGAATCCCCCAGTCCTTGTTGACACCCCCTCCTCTCTTTGGTAGTCCATCAGCCACGACAGAAATAAAAGCTTTGTATGCTTTGCTATTTTCATTCGGAGCTAGGAATCAGTAGTCTATAAAAAGTTTTATATTCAAGCTATTAAAATAACAAAACCTAGTGAAGTAGTAAAAAGGAAGACCGCCAGCTTAATGAATTTCGATATGCTTTAAGAGGAAAACAGAGACTGGTTAATTTATTATTTGTATTAAGTAATAAAACAGGTATAATTAAGATGCTACAATATTTCGGGGCACTTAGGTGGTTCAGTCTGTTGGGCGTCTGACTTTGGCCCGGGTCATGATCTTATGGTTTGTGAGGTCAGGCCCTGTGCCGATGCTCAGAGCCTGGAGCCTGCCTCGGATTCTGTGTTTTTGTCCTCTCCCGCACCCCCCGCACCCCCCCGCCAAAAACAAACATAAAAAAATTTTTTTTAAGATGTTCTGAATATTTCAAAACTCTTTAAAAATGTTTCTTCATTTAGAAGTGTATGTTTTGCTGCTTTAGATGATATACATGGCTTATTATTTTTCAGTCGTACTAAAAAAGTGATTATTTTGAGGCCTATTAAGTAAGACATGCTAAGGGGTTGGCTTTTAGTCCATCTATTCTTGTTGTAAGCCTTTCTTTCATTATATTCATCAAGTCAGAGTTCTTTAAAAGAAATTTCCATAAAAGTTGTGGAAGGAGAACGTGCATGTAAAATCACCCTTGGCCTCTTCCTTTGCTGGTTCTTACCTCCATGATGTTCTTGAAATAGAATTCCCTCCTTCGAGTTGAAAGTTCCTGAAAACCTAATATTGATTTTCCTAATAGCAGTAGTAAAAATATCTAGCCATTGTATTCAGCCAACTTTGGAAATAATTTTTTTTAAGTAGTAGGACTATTATGTTAAATAGAAGTTGCCTTTTTTGCAAGTACCTGCATTTATGTTATATTGATGTGAAGAAAATAAGTGAGAAAAAGGACACTCTTCTGAGAGAGGAAAGATAATTTTAAAAAAAGCTTCGGGTTGCCTGGGTGGCTCAGTCAGTTAAGCATCCGACTCTTGATTTTGGCTCAAGTCATGATCTCGTAGTTCATGAGTTTGAGCCCCACATTAGACTCTGCACTGATAGTATGGAGCCTGCTTGGGATTCTCTGTCTCCCTCTCTGCTCCTCACCCACTCATGTTCTCTCTCTCTCTCTCTCTCTCTCTCAAAATAAACTTAAAAGAGGAAAGCTGTCAGTCTCACTTATGAATATAGATGCTTAAATAAAATACTGGTAAAGAGAGACTATTAAAACAGTATATGATGGCAGATGAGATTTTTTCTAGGAACGTAAGGATATTTCAGTGCTTTTTAATGTACTTTATCATATTTATTAGTCAAATGAGAAAAATCAGAGTTGTCTTAATGGATGCTAGAAAGGCATTTGATAAAACTTAAAACCCACTCCTGATCTTGAAAATAAAAAGCATGGCAAAACACAAGTAGAAGACTATTTTGCACACATACATATGTATGTCCATGTATATTTATATATTGTATATGTTAAGTGTGAAGACTCTAAAACAAAGCATTTTTGTCTGACTTCCACGTGAGCAATTTGATGGATGAGCCGCCTCCATTCCCGCTGTAGAACTGATGGCTGCCGCTGCGGAGCCCACGCGCCACAGTTGCCCTCTTCTCGGGCGCCAGCTTGCTGCTGCCTCCACCCCACTTGGATTCTCCAAAAGTTAGGTGTGTGTTTATTCACGAGCCTGTTTATGCCACTGTGGGTAGCATTGTAAAATTAGATACGTTAATCAAAAATTATGAAAACTATTGCACTGTGAGGGACAAGAAAAGAATTCCCAGGAAATCCGAGGTGATGCTTTCCCAGGAATTCTTTTTTTGTCTCTCATAGTACAGCAGTTATCATAATTTTTAGTTAACATATATAACATAACATACGTAACATAAAAGATGAGCCGCTAAAAAAACCTGTCAGGGGTGCCTGGGTCGCCCAGTCAAGTGTCCAAATTCTGCTTGGGTCATGATCCTACGGTTCGTGAGTTCAAGCCCCACATCAGGCTCTGTGCTGACAGGTCAGAGCCTGGAGCCTGCTTCGGATTCTGTATCTCCCTCTCTGCCTCTCCCCTGCTTGTGTGTGGTCTTTTCTCTCTCTCCCTCTCATAAATAAATAACATTTAAAAAAAAAAAAAAACCTGTTAAAATAGGTGTGAACAGGACAACTAGGATTTGGGAGGACCCAGTGAAACCTCCACACTTGGATGGCTTCACTCAAGTCTTAAGTTCTCTTTCTTCTTTAAAGAGACATTGGAGGGCCCATACTCCCAAGAACAGGCAGGTGTTCATCTTTACAGATCAGCACGTGAGTGTCCATTTATGTATTTTAAGCTCCAAATATTTAAGGGGACGTATGTTCAACTTTTTTTGATGCCCCACTTTAGTCTACTTTATCAACCAGTTATATGTGTCTATTTGCCCCAGTTGCACCAGATATCATATTGAGGAACGTTATTGCAGATGTGACTGTCATCTTCATAAAAGAAGCAACTGGGAAAAGATAAGAAATACAGGTACTTCTTCATTTCTGCACGTTTGTTATGCCTTTGCAGTCGTGCCTACTTTTTATTTATGCATAGCTGCTCATCCTGTTGCTAAACGGGGGCATGATGGCCAGCCCTGCGGGAAGAGCCACAGGCAGTTTCCTTCTGATGTTTATCTTTGTTAGAACATGACACGCTGCTGACTTATTGCAACAAAATGACAATACCATAAATAAAAGTTCAGTCAGCAGTCAGTTATGAACTAAATACACCAAAGGTAATAGTTTTAGTAAACAATAAGTTACTGTAAAATGTCATTTTAAAAGATGCCTCTATTCACAAAGATGCAGATTATGTCTACTAAAAAAAATATGTAGGACCTCTGTGAAGAAAACTTTTTAAATACAATTTTGTTCAAGTTTTTGAGAGCACACACAGGAGGAGGAGAGAGAATCCTAAGCAGGCTCTGCACTGTCAGCACAGAGTGCAACCCAGGGCTCAAATTCTCAAACTGTGAGATCATGACTTGAGCTGAAATCAAGAGTTGGTTGTTTAACTGACTGAGCCACCCAGGTGCCCCTGAAGAAAACTCTTAGTAAGGGAAATTAGAGAAGACTAGAAGACATGCAAGAAGACACTGTGTTTTTTTGCATGAGGAGACATTGCTCACCAGAGTCTCCCCCAAATTATGAATATCATAAAATCCAAAACAGTGTCTGCATATATTTGCTTCTGTATATGTTTGGATTTTAAACTACATTTTGAAAGAATAAAGATGAGAATAGTTAGGCAGTTTCATAGGAAAACACTGGGAGGGACTTGTACACCCAATATTAAAGAGTACAACATGACCCTACTAATTAAAACTACGTGACTGGTGCAAATATTCATATAGATCAATGAAAGAGTTGGGAGTTCAGAATGACTCCAGTTATAAGAAGAAATGAGGGATTTTTCAATTCAGTGGCATTGGTACAACTGGTTACCTATGTGGGAAGGGCAGCACCGCGTACCAAGTAAGTGCAAACGTTAAAGACCTTACCTGTGTTAAAAGCTGAACTTGCTAGTACTTAGTGCCTGGGACCTTGTATAAATCACGTAAGCACTCTGGGCCTCACTTTCTTCATCTGTTCTCCATACGTGTTGTGGCACTACTGCAGAGGTTAAGGAGATTTATGTTTGTAGAAGGCCCAGGAGGCTCGGCCTACAGAGTGTACCTACTCTAAGGATCAGCCGTTACTCTATCATTTAGGAAAAAAACAAGCCTAATCCCTCTTCTACCCAATATAACCATACTAAGTTCAAGTGGATTAAAGAAATAATTTAAAAAAAAAACAACTTGTAAAATACTAGAGAAAAGGTAAGTACATTTCTTTGTCTAAAATAACCTTGAGTTGGAAAAAACCTAAATGTGGTCATCAAAGCCAGAAATGTGAAGCTTGATTAATTTACCTCTATAAAAATAATGTTGTTAGAAAAGTACAAACAAGTAGGAAAGCACATTTTAAAGAACATATGCAACATGGTAAATGCTGTTAGTGTCCGCCAGGTCCCTTTGACCAGGCTGCTCTACCCCTCCTTTGGCTGATTCTGATTTGGGTACTAACGGTTTATCTTCACTCTTCCCCAGAGCATTGCCCTTGGGCCAGTGGAAGTCACCTTACCCAGAGGTGCCTGGGTGGTTTCGCCCCCACCCTCTGTGGTTGGCCTGTGCCTAATGCAGGGCATTCTTTCCCGGCTTTCTGGCCTCTATGGCACGATTTATGCTCCTGAGCTGGGATGAGGCTGAGGAGAGACTTCTGAAAGTACATCCTTGCCTGTGTCTCCTCCCGCCCTGTCCTGTTTCTGTCGTTGCCTCCCAGAGCACACTCAGTAATCACTTACACAAGAACTCTCACTCCAAGTGCTGCTTCCAGGGACCCTTACTTAATAGAAAACTGGGCAGATTGACCTGGAAAAACGCTCAGTGAACATGAAGCTGCTGAACTTTTTTAGTAATCAAGGAAAATCCACCAAAAATAGATCTGCTGATCAGGTTGAAAGGTAAAGAAATTTAGGGGTTTCTGGATGGGTTAGTCGCCTGAGCGTCTGATTCGGCTCAGGGCATGATCTCACAGCTGATGAGTTCAAGCCCCGTGCCTGGCTCTGTGCTGTCAGAGCCTGGAGACTGCTTCGGATTGTGCGTCTCCCTCTCTCTGTCCCTCCTCTGCTTGCATCTGTCTCTCTCTCTCTCAAAAATAAACAAAAAAATGTTTTAAAAAGAAAGATAAAAAATGTATAATATGAGACTTTTCATGATTTGGGGGAAAGACAGTAACATTATGGAAAGGGTATAATTTGATAGCAATCGTACAGATTCTTCTACAAATGGATTTCTTCAGAAATAGCTGTTTAGGTGTAAAGAGTGCCTATGTGAGGACATTTATTGGATAATGTCTAAAATAATGGGAAACTCTCTCTCTGCCCCTCCCCCACTCGCACTGTCTCTCACTCAAAAATAAATAAACATTAAAATAAAATAATGGGAAAATGGAAACAACCTAAATTCCCAGTAATAGGCCTAGTTAAATGATCCATTGTAAATTGAAACATAAGAATACCGTCTAGATGTCTAGAATAAGTTGTTCAGTTGAAACCAAAGTTACTAAATGTACAGTGTCTATGTAATGTGCACAGAAATAGTAGCACGAAATAAGGATTATTGGGGATGTTTGCTTTCTTCATTATTCACTTCTCTTATTGGCTTAATACGTGGTGAGTAGGTATTACTTCCTCAAGGGGAGAGAGATCTTTTTCCCTTGGCAGGGAAAGGCAGCCCCATAGATGTAAGACACCGCTGGACTAAAAACAAAGTACAACAGGAACACATGTAAAGGTGGGAGACTCACAGTGTAAGTAAGGGTCAAGGGTGACTGTGTGGAAGGAAGGCAGCTAACCCGAAGTGGAAGAATGAGAAATTGTGGGGTAGGGTGGGGTGCGGCGGATAGTCTTCCAGGGAGCTGGCACAGTATGTGAAAACAGAAAAACAAGTGCCTGGGGTTTGTAAGGAACTGAAAAATTCCAGAGTTGAAATTCAGAATTTAGCTAAGAAAATGATGAGAAATCGATGAGAATAGGGAGTTAACAGCAGTCAGATTTCAAGGATTTTTGAAAACGTTAAGGAGTTTTCATTTCCTCCTAAGGGAAATGGGAAGCCACTGAAGAATTTTAAAGAGGAGAATGACTTGACCAGATTTGCATTTTAGCAAAATCACTCTAGCTGCAACTTAAAGAGCAGACTAGAGGGAAGAGAGCCAGAGGTCAGGAGCGAGCAAGGGCCGTTTGAGTAATCTGGGGGACACTGTGGCCATCTGAATATGTGGCCCCTGGGATGGGGGATGGCGTACTGCTTAGCGAGGATTCTTGGTAAGAAGACTTGGAGGTGGGTTGGAAGAGTGGGGTGAGGAAAAGAGAATCAAGAGCTACCAGCAGTCTGTTGGTCAGTAGGACGTTCCCTTCACGGAGGAAAACAAGATGAGAGACAGATTGTGGGCAAGGAGCTAGGTCAAGTGGGAAGAAGAGGAGCTTAAAAGTTAACCACCTGTGTGACAGAAACTTGAAAGTTTTGCTTTAAGTGTTTATCTTTTCCAGTAACAGGTGACCGAACTGGCCTTGTTTTAATGGGACTTACCCTGTGATGTCTCTCATGCTCTCTACCTCTGTGCTACTGGAAACCTCGGTATGTGGGGACACGAAAGTGTCTCCACCCCTTCTCTTCTCCCCTCCCAGCTCTGGCGGGGAGGGGGACTTGAAGAAAGCGTCATAGAGAACTTGGTCACATGATAACTCACCAAGTTACGCTGTGGGAGACACCAGTACCAGCAAGAGAAATGTTACTCGTGTTGTAGGTGCTTTACTAGGAAGAAATGGGAAGACCCTGAGCCTTAAGGACAAGACTAGAGCCAGGACCCTAGCAGGAGGGCAGAGGGATGACAAAAGGGGATTGATTGAGAGGGAGGGAGATAGCAGAGGGAGTGAAGATCCTGATGCCCTTGGGAGGTTAGGAAGCTAGATACAAAAGGCTCAAAAATATTTCTGACTATCCTCGCAACTTATGTGCCCATGACCGGCTAAGTGACACCTTCTGGTTATGGACCATGCCTCTCTGCAGTCTCCAAATGTTAGAGGCAAAGCTAAGAGGCCATGTGTTAGTTATCCCATCTGGGATGAATTCTGACGGGAGGGGTACCAGTGCCAGTGTTTCACATTGGCCTTCATACATTTCCTAAAAGTGCCAGACTTTTCCCATGACCTTGCCCTTGCCTATGGTCTTTCTGCTGTCTGGAACACTGTGCTTGAATGGTTGTCTATCCTTAAGACTACCCTGAAAAGTCACCACCTCAGTGAAGTCTGTAGACATCTCTACCCTTTGCCTCTGAGACTCTCACAGGACTCTGTTTTTTACTTCATTCTATTTACCTCAGATCATTATTACATATTTATTTCTGGAATTTTTTTTTTTTTTTTTTAATCATCTGTTCCAGGAAGGCAGGTCAAGGACCATCTGGTTTTCTCATCACAGGTCTTAGCACCTGGTCCAGCATCTGGCAACAAAACGGCTCCCCTTGGAGGCCAAATATCATTGGCCAGGTGTGTTTTCTCATGGGCACGCTCTGACACCAACAGCCGGTGTCCACAATAATCACTAATCCCCAGATGAGCCCTAATGGGAACTTCCTAAAGAGCCCTTGTTTAACTTGCAGTAATCACTCTGCCCACCAGGGGTCTCTTTCTCCCCATCGCTGGGTCCAAAAGAACTCTGGAACCCCTCTGTATCTTGATGGTTTTCACCGCCTTGCTGCTCCCTGTGCTTGTGGTGTACCCCCACCTCTACATCACCTGGGAGCTCATCAGAAATGCGGAGTCCCAAGCCCCACCTGAAACGGGACGGATCAGAATCCACATTCTAGCAAGATCCTCAGGTGGTCTGTTTGCACATTAATCACTGAGAGGTGCTATTTCACAGGACATTTCTAATCTGAAAAACTTGGAAGAGGAAAGAACACTTCATCGAAATGGCCTTTGTTATCCGGTTATTTCTCAACCACATTCATAGAAGTACTTATTAGAGGTTCAGCATTTGCTTTTATTATGAATATAAAATAGACATACAACATAATATACATTTACACATTTACACTTTGCAGTCCCTTTCATCTTTTTCAAGCAGATTCAGCTCTGCATGGCTCAGCAGTCCACTCCTGCCACTACACCCTCCTTACACTCACAACATTCTCTTCACCTTGGTACAACGCGTGACTTCATAAGAAATACCAGACCCGGGCATAGAACGATTGGCTTTACTGTCCTTCTCACAGAATCCTTTTCATTCTATGGTTTCCTTTCCTGTCACCGCATGCCTTCCATTGCCTTGAACTTCAGGGTTGAAAATTCAGGAGAAAAGAGGGCTGCAATAATCACCCTTGTCTTTTAAAAACACCTTGAAGTAGCTTCCGTGAGCGAGGCGCACATAAGTAAACACCACATTGCTCGTTAATATGGTTCAAGATCTGCAGGAAGGGTCTGCAGTGTTCTATACAAATGAAGCTTTGCTCACCAAATGGATGATTGTGAAGGATCTGAGTATCAGTGGTGTCGAAGTAAATAAATAAATAAATAACCAGGAATACATAAAAATAGAGTGCGCTTCACTAAGGGACATCTCCGTACCTCTATCTCCGTGCTTTCTCAAAACCTCATTAGGTGCAGCTTTACAATAGGTGGATAGAAGCTGGGTTTTATGACTAGTTGCTCTTCTTGGGGGCTGTGCCCTCAAAATGCCAGTGAAGAACGGCTGATGAAGAGATGTGGTTTCCCTCAGAATGAGGCCAGGCGACAGGTTTTGTAGGAGTTCTCCTTGAGGCTGTCAAATATTGCTTTGGTTCCATTCTGCCAGTGTAGCACCAGATCCATTGGGGTCTTCCCAGCCTAATGAAAATACATGAGGAAATTTGACTTCCAGATGGGAGGCATCTATAAATTCACATCCTCTGTGTGTGGTTTAATGAGGTAATGGGTAGGTGTATGCTTTATTGAACTGTTTTATGCTTTCCACTATGAGTGATTTGCAGTTTATATTCAAATCAGCTCTTTACTGTTTCTCACCGTAATGCCTTTGGCGTTTCAGAGTAGCACTGTTTGTTGTTGTTGTTATGGTTGTTGTTGTTCTTCTTGTTCTTGTTGTGTTTCCCTATCCTGGGACTATCCCAGGTTTGGGTAAAAATCCCTGATCCCTAGGTAGTAGATGGCAAGAGCACGCAAAGTCATTTCTAAATTCACAAAATGTCTCTCTGCACCTCCAGAATCCTACAGAATGGGTATGGGGAAGTAGTAGTCAAGAACTAGTTCCTATCAGTTTGGAAAATGATTCCTGATTGATAAAAACTGGTAGTAAACGAGCTGCTTTGACACCCTGGCTGACGTCCTTGGGCACCCTTCAGAGTGACTATTGCTCAGAAGGGTGGAGTTTTCACAACTGCTCAGAAGTTACACTGGGATCTCCCAGGAAATTTCATTTTTCTTGGAGGTGGTGTCAATGATGTGTAAGTCATTTTTGAGACCAGAATTCGTTGCCCCTTATGCATGTGTCTCAAGACATTTATAAAAACGAAAACCATGTCACCTCTCAATCCTTGTCTTTAAGTATGAAAAGTCTTAAACTTTTTCACCTCTATTCATTTGGAAGTCTCTTTAACTCAAGAGACTGCAAACTGGCAGCTTTGAAATGCAAATCAGTCTAGAGACTTGTTTTGTTTGGGCCCAACCAGAGTTTAGATTTTTTAAAAGTTGGAATTAATTGGCAACAGTTGGAAATTAGATTTCCCAGCTGCCTTTGTGGGCTCTCTGAAGAAATCGGGAGAGTTGGTAGCATGATCCCTGTGGATCCACAGAGCAGCAAGGGACTGGGCTAGGGAAGGGCCCTTTAAAAGTTTTGTGTGCAGACCCCTGCTGCCACCATTTAAGTAATTTAGGTGCTCTGCCTGCCATGCGCTTACTTGAACTAGTGGCCCTGTAACCTTCATTTTGGAGCCTCCCACCTCTGTAGCATCTTCCTTGAGAATCACTCATCAGGATACATGATGACAGAGTTTTAGACAACGATAGAATAATGTATTGTGTGTTGTTTCTGGTTCCCTTCAATATGGTGTCCAATGGCTTACAGGTCCAGTGGGGAACATCCAGCCATTGGGTCATTGACATTAATAGTTCCTGGACCCTTATGCTATGGTCTCATCGTTCAGAACCATTGGTATATTTTGGGCTGTTCCTCCATGAATTCCTTCATCTCTTCTCTGTTAGAATTTATCTCCTAATTATATAGCTACTTACACAGTCTCCCCAAATATGTAAGCTATTTCTTTCCGCTGCTAGTGTCTCACTGCCTAAAAGAAATCATATTTTCTGCAGTTTTGGAGATTTCATTAAATCTACTCTTTCTCTGATAATTTATTTAAATTATTAGATAAGATCCATTTCACTATCAAGGGACCCTACTATTAACACTTTCCCATCCAAGCAGTCTCTATTTATTGCTTTCTTTGTTCTTATCACTGAGACAGTTTTGGTGGGGGGGGGGGGGTTATGATAAAATATTACTCTCAGTCTCATAGTAGCACAATAAGGGGAAGAAATTATTCACCGTATACGATGTCTGGGGTTTTCGTTTCCTTCTTTGTAAAGTGATTCTCCACCAAATCTTTCAAATTATTTCTTTAGTAATTTATATCCATTCCTCTCAGTGATATTTTTAAAGCTTATATTAGATGATGTTTGTCTGGGAATTGGGACCATGAGGAAAAGTTGGTTCTATTCCCTGGCTTGCAGATGAAGCTAAATTAACACGTACTTGTAGAAGGGACTTATATGAGCATTTTCAGGGCCTAAATATAGGAAATTATTTTGAGGGATATGCAGATAAACCAAAGTGGAGAATGGATAGAAATTATCTCAAAAATATAGGCAACAGCATGTGTAGCCTTGGAAGAAAGGGGTAGTAGCATGTCATGCTGTTGTAAGGGGTGGGGGGGGGGAGTACTCAAAATTACTCGTATTAGATATTGATTAATTTCAGTGCATTGGCTCTTGGCCACATTGACCGCTGTGGGATTTTATCACTTCAGGAATGGTGCCTGTCTTTATTCCTGACTACCCCAGGCCTTGCTCAGCCAGGGGTGGCCAAGGCAGATTATCCTTGGACTTGGGAAGAGGCGCAATTTGACCTGTATTTTCAAGACCAAATTTTAAAAGGATCACTAGACACTATACCAGCGCTGAAGCCATAGCAGTCACGTTGGGCTACACCTGCCTCTGACCAGGTGATCTTGCCAAGGTTAGCAACATCGTTATAGGGACAGAGGCATTTAAAGCATCAAAAGGCTGTCCCCAACCCTGAAATCCTGCTGCCGTGGGACTATTTTCAAGATATGCTTTTGTGAAGAACAAAGCCTGCAAGCAGAGACTACTTAGTTGGGGTACTTACACAATTCTTGATGTTGAGGTCGGCCCCGTATGTAATTAGGAGCCTGATCATCTTGTAACGGTTCAGCCTCACAGCATCGTGCAGAGGGGTGTCTCCTTCCTAGAGAAGCAGAGTCAACAGGCCAAAGGTGGGTCTGAGGACAGGAAGTGGATCCCATAAGGGTACCAGGTTTGGGGAGGGATTTCAGATTAAGTGAGGGGTGAGGCCGCAGGAGGCAGAGCTTTGCCCAGGTACTCACTCGGTCTTTGGCGTTGAGGTCCGCCTCACAGGCGATGAGATGCTCTGCACACTCGTAGTGGCCAGTCCTCACCGCCACGTGCAGGGCTGTGCTGAGCAGCTGGGAAATTGAAGATTGCAACTGATTTGCTGGGTTCGGGGGCAGAGGCTGTCCCGGACCCCAAAACATGTGTGAGGGGGACAAGTGGCCACTCTGGTGCCCCACACGGCATGAACTTCCTGCTGACCCAAATGGTGAGGTGGCTTTGCGAGAGAAAGGGGAAGGGGAGGAAGAGGCCAAGGAGGGGGAAGAGGCCAAGGGTGGTGGAGGGGAGGAGAGGAGAGGAGAAATACCTTATCCCGAGCACTGATTTTTGCTCCTTTATTCAGCAGCAGTTTTAAGACATCCAGGTTTCCTCCACGGCTTGCCCAGTGGATGGCTGTGGATTCAAGCTATAGCAGAAGGTAAACCGGCATAAAAAGGAACTGGTCAGAGGAGTTAGCACTTGGTTTCTGAGGCCCAGGAATACCCAATTTGCTAGGGCATCCACTGTGACACTGGGTTGTCCCCCTCTGGATTGCTAATTCTAATTATCGTAGCTGAAGGCTCTGGCCAGATGCTTGAGCTAAACTAGATATGTGTGGACGTGAGCATATGCGCTCCTGTGTGTGTATCTGTGTGCATGTATTTGCATCATTAAGAAACTCAATAAATCTAACAAATCTTTTTTTTTTTTTTTTTTTTTTTTGGTAAAAGTATAAAAACTACAACTTACAGAGAATTTCCACCTGCCAGCAAGGTGCTACACACTTTCAGTGGGTTGATCCCCCCAGCAGGTGTGACTGCCCTCATTTTGCAGGTGAGAAAACCAAGTCTGCAAAATAGTCAAGTTTCTTGTCCAAGGCAACGCAGCTAGTAAGTATCAGAATAGATATTCAAACCCACATCTGCCTGAAACTCTCAGCCACTTTTGCCAAATAGACTCAGAAGTTCTAGACAAATGCATTTTAAAATTCTGGCAGAATACAAGTAGTTCCTTCCAGGAGATTTTAATCTGGGGCTGCCACCTCTTCCTGTGTCCCTGTTGTTTTTGTCTCATCTCTTCCTGGCTCTCTGCTGTCATCTGCACCAGCACAGCCTCTGTACCTCAGCTGCCACCGCCGGTCGTCACTGCACACTGCCCTTACTCTTAGGAGCTGCCGTCTTCCCTGCTCTGGTATATTCCTGCCTTCCAAATCACACACTCATGTATTTGAGTGTCTTTTCATGCAAACTTTATTTATTTTTTATTGTTTTTCTGTGTGTTTGTCTTTTGGGTTCAATTTCTTTCAAGTTCTTTGGACTTTTTTTAATATCCCTTTTCCGCTTTGTCATAAAGTCAAATTGAGCTGCATTTAAATAAATAAAGCATATTCCCAGCTCAGTCCGCAGTTCACAAAATATGCTGTATGCTTGCCTTTGTAGAAATCACACTGGTTGAATTATTGAGGTCTGAACAGCAGCTACTTTCCATAGATGCAATTCATTCCGCAGGCAGTTTAGCCCTCAACCTCACTGATGGCATCTATCACATAAGGTGTACAGCTAGAGAATTCTGACACATGGCTGGCAGCCACGGGGCCACGAGCAGTCTGTTGTGGATAATGGAAGGACAGGGACACTGAGAGGCAAGTGCTGACTGTATTACTTCTCAGTAATGCTACTGACTTGATACTGACCCAGCTCTCTGATGAGGATATTGAATTCCATGCAGAGGCTTTCCCTTTCTTCTTTTCCCTGGAACACTCCTCTCCTTTTCAGTATGTATGGGAAATACTTTCCACATGACCTAGTCTCATCTCCCAACTTCCCTTTGTATGGAGAAATGAGCTTTCGCCCTGTTCTCTCAGATCAATTTTCAATCCAATCAACCCCATTTTTCATTGTAGGTTTTCTCAAGCTTCATATAGTCTACTTATTTTGGCTCATTGCCAAACAAAGAAATATATTTACCATATCACGGAATTCGATCTGGGCTCCAGCTTCCATTAACTTCTCTACAATTGCCAAGTGTCCTTCTAAGCAGGCTCTGTGAAGGGCTGTTCGTTTATACTGTCAGAATAGAGATTTAAAAAGAGATAGCGATGCATATGAAAGTGAGCATAAATGCTTTCTAAGGGGTGTGGAACTGGGGACTCTAGTGACCTAATTGATAGAAACTCAGTTGCTTATTTTGGAATCAGAACTGCCAAATTTACTGACATTGCAGAACTAGAACAAATATCCTACAACTGAGGTTTGAGTTTCCTGCAAGTACATTTCTAAGTGCTCAGAGGTCTATGTGGAGGGATGTGAATTTAAAGTTCAAAACTATCCAAATGCTGACATTTCTCTTTTTTGAATTCTGTGCCTTCATTGTTTGTGTAGAATTTGTCATGCAGCTCGGACGGCTTTCTTCCATCTGGGACTGTTGCTAGGTTGAATATTAAAAAGTATTCAACTCTTTTTTTTTTTTTAAGAGAATGGGGGACGGGCACCTGGGTTGTCCAGTCAGTTAAACCTCTGACTTTGGCTCAGGTCATGATCTCATGGTTTGTGGGTTCAAGCCCCGCATCATGCTCTGTGCCAACAGCTCAGAGCCTGGAGCCTGCTTGGGATTCTGTGTCTCCTTCTCTCTGTCCCTCCCCCCTCTCGCGCGCTGTCTCTCTCTCTCAAAAATAAACATTAAAAAAGAGAGAGAAAGAGAATGGGAGACTCATTTTTAGTTCACCTTCTAAAATGATTCTCCAGCCAGAAGAGGATACAAAAAGGAGTAGAAGAAGACTTTGTATGAATGGATCAATAGACTATCTGGCCTAGAACAATTGTTGGCATTATTCACTCCAGTATGCTCTATTTACAGATAAGAAAACTGAGGTCTAGAAAATGCAAATTAGCTGCTAAAAGTCAAACAGCTAAGTAGTGATAGGCCGCCACTTGAATTCCAATCCACAGATTCCCTGTGTATCGCTAATGTGTTTGGGTACGATCAAGGATGATGCTGGGGTGCCTGGGTGGCTCAGTCAGTTAAGCGTCCAACTCTTGGTGTCTGCTCAGGTCATAATCTCATGGTTTGTGAGTTCAAGCCCCACATCGGACTCTGAGCTGACAGTGCAGAGTCTGTTTGGGAATCTTTCTGTCCTTCCCTGACTTGTGTTCTCTCTCTCATTCTCATCAAAATAAATAAACAAACAAATTTTTTTTTAAAAAAAGATGATGCTGTTATGTATTTCTCCAAAAGGGATTTGTTGGCTCTGCCTTATTAGAAGTCTATCCCAAGAATATAAAAAGTTAAAGACAAACTGGAAAATCAGCCAGAGGTCCCCAAAAAATGATGCAATCCACAGCACTAATCCAGCCTCTTTTTTCCTGGATGGCTGTACTATCCTAATACGCTACCGGCATATGTGGTAACAGCTGGGGAGACTGTTTCAGGTGGACTGGTTTTTGGCACCATGTTAGCAAGGCTGAAGTTAAGCATAAGAAACACAAAATTAATGAGCTGGATTTTGCAGTGCTTTGTATAAGCCTTACCTCATCACAGACATCTGGATTGTTCTTGTCTGACAAGAATTTTTCTACTACTGGCAGCTTATTCTCCAGGGCAGCCTTCAGGAATGTAGGTACATCCACAGGTTCTGTCTAAAGCCAAAAAAAAAAAAAAAAAAAAATCACAGGAGAGTTACCGCGAGCTTTCCAATATTCAATGAAACCCTCCACAGATCTTTCTTCCCCTGTAGCCTAATGCTGGACGTGTAGTACCACAAAAAGCAGGCGTTCTTACAATGATTTCAGGTTCAGGTTCCTTTACAACCGAAACTTTAGTCTTCCTGTATTTTTTCCTTTTCTTCAGTTGAATGATTACTTCAAGGTCTTCTAAATTTTCAAGCTTTGATCTTTGTTCTAGTTTTTTCTTCTTGAGCTAAAAAAGAAATCCATATTTCAAAATATGGTGAGTTCTACTGACAGGCAATCTGATTGTGTCTAAACAAAAATCTGCAAGGTCTGAGAGGAGTATGTGAACAGTTTGAGAAAGAAAGAGGAAGGGAGGGAGGGAGGGAGGAAGGAAGGAAGGAAGGAAGGAAGGAAGGAAGGAAGGAAGGAAGGAGGGAGGAAGGAAGGAAGGAGGAAGGAAGGAAGGAAGAGAAAGAAAGAAAAGGAAGGGAGGGAGGGAGGGAGGGAGGGAGGGAGGGAGGGAGGGAAAGAAAGAAAAAGAAGGAAGGAAGGAAGGGAAAGAAAGAAAAGGAAGGAAGGAAGGAAGGGAAAGAAAGAAAAGGAAGGAAGGAAGGAAGGGAAAGAAAGAAAAGGAAGGAAGGAAGGAAGAGAAAGAAAGAAGGAAGGAAGGAAGGAAAAGAAAGAAAGAAAGAAGGAAGGAAGGAAGGAAGGAAGGAAGGAAGGAAGGAAGGAAGGAAGGAAAACAACTTTAAAACTAATCTTTGATTTTGACTTAGTGACTTCTTACTCAAGTATTTAGGAGTCTAAGTTTTCAGCTAATGGCCTTTTTCTTCACTTCTCTTGCTTGTAGCATCAGCTTTCGACTAATTGGAGATAGGATCTAGTTTGTAAGTGATGATCTTGTAATCCTTTCCATAAACAAACCCCAGATTTCTGTAGAATTTATTATTTAACTCGAAAGAACCCAACAGCAAGTATTAAGCTCTGAAATATCAGTGCCAATCTCTTTCAGGTGGCTTACTAAGAAACACACTGTCCTGGGACTACCACTAACTAATGCATGTTTTATCTGTGATTAGTAAGCAATGCAAATTCACCCGGCAACACAGAAGTTGTCAGCACAGATAGTGAATGCAGCCCAGCAATGATTCACGGACCACAAGCCACATTACTGAGAAAAAGAGGTCTCTCTTGCTTTGGATTAACTAGACTGTGTATGACCTCAGAAAGTCACTGGACTTGTGTCTCTTTCCAAGTCTTCCAATCAGAAGATGATCATAGAACAGTCAATCATTGATTTGGAATCCAGAGGTGATAGTTTTGTTAAAGAATTAGTTCCTACAACCCGCCCTATAAAAGTTGCTTCTTATGGGTTTGAATTTCGCAGAGAAACATCTTTGGAATGGTTGCATTTATTTTGGTTTTCTCTTTTCTCCTTCCTGCCTGGCACCTCTTTGCCTTGCCCCACCCCCAACTTCCCACTAGTGGATTCCGTGGAAGCTCCTTACCTCTGCCTCTCGCTCTTTCTCAATTTTCCACTGCTGCTCCCCCAGGCTCAGGGAGTGGGCTGGAAGTGTTTTCAGATCCTCTTGCTTCTCTACAGTAACAGCAGCTTCATACTCCCCATCTCTGAAATCCTCGGGGAGGAACTCCCCAGTCTCCCCACTGCTATTCTTCTTCCCTGTGACCTAGGAGGGAAGAAAACTGTAGGGTCAGAAGAAGCAGGATCTGTCCTGGGGTCATTCTCCAAAGAGGATGCTGAAGGAGGGCTCTGGTCCTCCCTGGCTGGTGACAGCCACCTCTGCGAGGTGTGCTCTCAGATCCCAGGCTGGGACACACTGCGGCCATATCCCAGGATTACCTTCAGGTGATCGTCCTATTCTTTAGGTAAATCAAGGCTTAGATTAGGCTGATATGTTTACATCCACATTTAATCCACCGAATCATATTTCTCCTAGGAAAATTGTAACCCCTCCATGATTATTTAAGATTCTTCTATTTAAGGTACTTTTGATGATACTTGGCCTTGAATTATAAAGTTTCCAGACATATTCTCTCAATAAAACTTCTTCCCTAGGGCATCCTCATACCTGCCTGTGAATCCAAGCTTTGGTAAGAAAACCAAAGGAGAGGATAAGAAATAGGAAATATGGAGAGAACCCATTACTACCAGCTCCATTTTTCCAATTTCACTTATTTCATCACATACGCCAACCATTTTCTATAGATGACCTCGGAGTACCTGTGCATTATGCCTGAATGAAAGGACATTTCCATTTCCAAATACAGATCAAGACCGAACTGGTTTTCATTGTGAAATGATAATGTGTCTTACGTACCAGCTCTTCTACCTTCATCACCATCATGTCTTCCTGAAGTTCTGTTCGTCTGTGTGTTTTTTCTCCTGTGGAATGAATCCCTTGAGTCGGCCCTGCTGAGCCCCTCCACCCTGGTCAGCTTATATAGCTAGCGCTGGGTGAGATAATCTTCCAACCTGGGAGCCTAAGTAACACCCCCACCCCCACCCGCGGCCAACTCAGAGGCAGGTGAATTTTCATTCCAGACTCAGTGTCTGGGAAGCAGAAGAGGGAGGGGATGACAAGTAACCCCACTTAATATGTGAATCAGGAAGAAATGTGAGAGGGCCATTCCTTTGGCAGTGACCACACCGCTCAGCAATGCAAGTCATCTTTTTATCGAGAAGCCAGGGGACAGCTGTCTGTTGCTATTGCACCACAGCGCTGCCCCTGTTCCTTCTTTGTCAGCTTTCATATGACTAACCCTATCAAGAAAATGTAAATACCCCACATATCACACTGCCAATAATATCTTGCTGATAACCAGACTTATCAACACTTCACTTGGGGGAAGTGTTGCTTCAGGACATCCTATTCGTGGGTAAACAGTCTGAGAGGAAAGGATATGGGGTCCTAATGGCCCTTGTCTATATCTGTTTGGAATTCTCTGGACTGATGTCTGGGGCTAAAAAGGCCCCATGACATGCCATCTTACCATCATTGTAAGAAATTGAAAGCATTCAGTGATGCACTTTTATTTTATGGTGTCACTGGCCATAATTAGCACATTACATGCTCACTGTCATCTAAAACTGCATACTTACCGGAGCCTTTTTGATTCAGATGGTCCCAAGAAAGATTATAGGAGATCAGTTATTAGCAATGGCATGGTGTTGATTAGGTCACAGAGCCAAAGTTCTCAGATGCTATCGGTAAAACACTCGCCTGTGGAAGCTTGTCAAAAATGCAGATCCCCTGGCCCCACTCCAGGCATTCTGAATCGATTTATGGTGGGTTCTTGGAATCTGTATTTTTCAAAGCACCCACATAACTCTGATGCATCAGGGTTTGACCCACATTGCTAGAGGAGCAGAGAGCTTTGCTCTACGGAGGGATGAAGCAGACCCCTGTTTCTGGTTTCTCATCTGAGGTGTTAAATCATGTAAAAATAGTTAGGTCTTATTACGGTTCAAGAAGAAACTAGGATTGTACCTTCAAAGCCATTTGAAACCTTAATGTTTTCAGTAAGAGGAAAAAAAAAAGGGAAGAATGAGAGAAAAGGAGTATTAATGGAGGGGAGTATTAGGATCTATGTTGACCTTTCTGGATCTGTCATCCCTCAGACTTACTCATTCCACAAAACATGGCTGCCATTCTCTTCTCCCCTTGAACTGATCAGCCCATGGACATTCTCTGCAACTGTCAGAATGAGATATTGACCCCCAAAGAAAAAGCATAGGTAAAGAAGAACTCTCCTAATAACTCCTGTATCTGTTCTGGTCCCCTAATGTTCTTTCCTAAAAGGAGTTTTACTTGAAGGAAATCTGGTTGAGGTGGACATAGCTATTACTTCATTAGTTTCTTCATCTAAGTAAGAAATAGCCATTTTAGCTTTTCCTACCATTTCTTGTGGCTTTTTGTTACAGGCTTGACCCAAACTGAGGATAGTATTAGGACATATCTTTGGGGAAGTGTCATGGGTTGTTTAAGGGTCTTTAAAAAATTTTTTTTAATGTTTTATTTATTTCTGAGAGAGAGAAAGAGAGAGACAGTATGGGCAGGAGAGGGTCAGAGATAGGGAGGTACAGAATCTGAAACAGGATCCAGGCTCTGAGCTAGCTGTGAGCACAGAGCCCGATGCGGGGCTTGAACCCATGAACCGTGAGATCATGACCTGAGCCACCCAGGTGCCTCTGTTTAAGGGTCTTGAATATGGAATTTCACAGCTGTTAGTGCCCTCAAAGTTTGAGGAAGACCAGTGCTTTCATTTTGCAGAGGGTGGTGAGGCATAGAAATGTTGAGTAACTTGCTTCAGATATACAGCTGTTTGGTGGATACTAAGTTGAAGAGTTTTCATTCCATCCAATAGAAGCAGAGAATCACTGAGCACAGAGCAGATTTTCAAGGGCAGGTTGTACCTAGAGCCACTCAGGGCTCTTCATACCTAGACCCACTCAGGGCCCAACACAAACTGGTAAAAGGCTGTTCAGTGTTCAAATCACCTCAAAAAAATGCAAGTGGAGGTGGGTTGGATGGCTCATCAAGCCCTGCTCTTCCTCTAGTCACTGAGTTTTCCCTGCAAGCCTGGCTGATTCTGTCTGGAAGGCTCCAGGAAGTCTTGAAAAGAACTTCGCAGAGGCTGACAGCTGAGGATGGCTGACGGATAACGGGCTGAACCTAGAGAAAGGAGTGAGCTGGGAAGGACCTCCATTACTGTCAGGTCAGCAAAATCCCTGTCGCACCTCCCCAATCCCCTTTCGCCCATGTTGATCCCGGCAGCATTATAAAACAACATAAGATTTGCTCTTCAAAAAGCGATTCTAGGGGCGTCTGCGTGGCTCAGTCACTTAAGCCTCCAACTCTTGATTTCAGCTCAAGTCATGATCTCACAGTTCATAGACTGAGGCTTGCATCAGAAAATTCTCTCTCTCTCTCTCTCTGTAAATAAATAAGTAAACATTAAAAACAGTGATTCTAGATACATTTAGCTCCCTAACAACACATAAGACAAAATTGCAGTTTCAAATCATTCTTATTCATCAAAATTGAGAACAGAACTTCTCAATGAGAGGCAAGTTCTCTGTCATTTGTTTTTAAAGAATCCCCTTCCTGTAAAAAGTTCACCTAGTGGAGTAAATTCTGAAAAGTGTATATTTGGCTGGATCATACTCTCAAACTAGGCATAACCTTTCCTGCCCAAGGTGAATTAAGACAAAAAAAAAAAAATCTCCAAGATGGTTCTACAATTATTTAACAACCCAGGGAAATTGTTCCTGAGCTTTACCAGAATTACCCCATGATCCTTCCCCCCAGTTTCTGCAGTGTTTATGCATTTTCAGTGAGACCAGAATTATAATCCTGTTTGTGGAGAAAGTGAGGCAGAGGAGCAGAGCCTATACAGCACTTACTGTCACCCAGGATTCCAAAGACTTGCCCAGACACCACCGTGGTTATGATGCCAGAGCTCAGCTCCAAGAACAATTTCATCTCTCCAAATTTTTGGACATTGTACTTCCATGTACTTCATTATACGTCTACTAAGATTTTTTATTATATTTTCTCAATTATGTAAGTAATATATGCATGTAATTGTTAAAAATTAAAGATGACACAGAGTGTTGCTTAATTGCAATCTCACTGAGTGTTGATTTGATACTTGATTTTTTTTCACTCGATAACATATCTTAGGGATTGTCTTCTACCAGCGCAAACAAACCTATTTCATTATTTTAATCAACCGCATGTATTTCCGTGTGTGGACACACCATTGCTCATTTAGCCACCTCTCCTATCTATAGATATTTAGGCTGTTTTTCAAAACAGTCACTTTTATTTGCTACAATCAAAGGCATTTCATGGCACATAAAATTTTATTGTTATTAACACTTCTTGTCCTTAGAACCCCCGCTTTGATACTAAAAGGAAGCACTCCAAGGACTGTGGCCAGATTCTGGCTCAGAAGACACCTTGTTCCTCTGTCGCACTTACAATTGCTCATTTTGCCGTCTCTCTTAATAGCCTTCCCAGGGCCAGCTGCTACTCACCTCCCCTGGCTCAGAGAAGTGGCTGACTTTGCCTAACTAGGAATCCAAGTATCCTTACAGCCAAGCCATGGCTCAGTTACGCACTTGAAAATGCCAAAGGGAGGTCACAAAAGTGAAGCAAACATGGCTCAAAGTTGTTTCCTCTCCTCCACCTACAAGGAATGGAATCACCTGTGTTTGAAAAGCTGAACACACTGGAGACATTTTGAGCAGGATTGTGATATCTGCCTTCATCTCCTCTCAAAGGACAAAGTCAAGACTAAAGTCCTCTTCTACCCAGGGCTCTGGATACAAAGTGCAACGCACACTGCTGTAAACCACGGGGCACAGGCTTCCTTTTTGCAGGTATCAGTGGCCCCTGGTGAAACAAGTAGGTGAAGGCTGTAGTTCTCACTGCCACACCTTGGAGCAGGTGCTTTGTTCTAGTTTATTACATGCCTCAACCCAAATGCTGCTACACATATGAACCCGTGTCAGCCAACAGGTGCACAGAGCCACATGGTCTATTCTGTAACTCAGTGAAGCCAGTCCCAACTTAGGCCCTCATACAACAAAGAGCATAAAAGGTTCAGCTGAGGCAAATGAAACCACATCCTAGCACCACATTTCGGCTGATTTTCTGGTCTAATCAAATGACAGAACATTTCAGGTATGGCCCAATACATGATCTGACAGAGTCCTCGTACTCACTGTGGGTCTAGGTCTCCAAAGCCCATAACAGAACGTCTGACACAGAGCAGCACCAAATATTTAGCTGACTCCTAGCAGGACCACTACATGCTTTTCTAGCCAAACCGCATGTCTTGAATCCTCCTTTCAATGACAAATAATCTGCAATATGTCTAATGCTAATTAACAAAGAATTCTGCAGTACTAATTAAATGTAAAGAGTAAAGACAGTTAAAGTGCTTGGTGGGGGGTGGAGGGTAGCCTCTTCTGGAACATGCACAGCTGATTGGCCTCTTATAAATCCTAACCACAAGTGTAATGTGCCAGCCAGGGCACCTCGGATGTAAATTACTATTTCCCAGTGGTTCTCAGGGCTGGGTGCATCTTAGAATTGGCTATGAAGCTTTTAAAAGATGCTAATACCCCAGCCTCACCCTGCGTGCATGAAATCTGAATCTTTGCTCTAAGTTCCAGGTATTGGCATTTAAAAAAAATTCTCCAGTTGATTCTAATTTCCACCCAGCATTGAGAATAACAGCAAAGATATAGATTCAAGTGAATGTGTATGTAAATATACATACATACATTTTTATTTTTTTTTTAATGTTTTTTTTTTTTATTTTATTTTTAGGAGAGAGAGAGAGACAGCGTGAGCAGGGGAGGGTCAGAGAGAGAG